AAATAAGTGCAATTCATCTGCTCTGTGACAGAAAGAATTAAATTCTAGTACCACCAGAAATAATAGGCAACTTCGACTATTTTTGTATTAAGTAGCAAAACAACTAAAGTCTATTCTTTGAATGGTTTTAAATGTATCAGTCAATCTAAACCCACACCATCCTCATATAGATTCCGGCTGTGATGATACTATATCCTTCTGCTTATAGAACAATAATCCTTACTATGCTTCATTATGAAGTTTGTTTTGTTCCTTCTCTGACATAGCAAAAATCAATGCAAGAGTGGCAGGACACTGGGGGTACTGCCATTTGTAAGACGTGCAGTCATTAGTGAGTAGAAACAGGTTGGAAGTGGTAGTACTTCTGCTTCCACGACTATCATGAATGCAAATCCTGGAAATCCCTCAGCAAAATAAAAACAACTCAACTCACTGAAGGTCTCTGCAGTGGTCTCTCAAAATTATGCTCTAACTTTCCTGTTCTCTAAGTCTTATAAAAGGATTTCCTTGAAGCAGAGAGGAAGAGTCAGAGCAGAATCACAGTTGCCAAGTTGGAAAAGACCCACAAGAATCACTGAGTCCAACTTCCAGCCCTGTACAGTATCATCCCAAGTCACACCTTGTGCCTGAGAGTATTGCCCAAACACTTCTTGAACTCTGTCAGGGTTGGTGCTGTGACCACTTCCCTGGGGAGCCTGTTCCAGTGCCCAACCACCATTTGGGGAAGAACCTCTTTCTGATATCCAACCTAAACTTCCTCTGACACAGCTTCAGGCCATTCCCTTGGGTTCTGTCACTGGTCACCACAGAGAAGAGATCAGTGTCTGCCCCTTCCCCTTACAAGGAAGTTGTAGACTATAATGAGATCTCCTCTCAGTCTCCTCCAGGCTGAACAGAACAAGTGATCTCAGCTGCTTCTCATACGGCTTCCCTTCAAGGCCCTTCACCATCTTCATTGCCCTCCCTTGGAGGCTAACAGCCTAATGTCTTTCTCATATTGTGGTGCCCAAAACTGCACACAATATTCAAGGTGAGGCCGCCCCAGTGCAGAGCAGAGCGAGACAATTGCTTCCCTTGACAGGTTGGCAATGCTTTGCCTGATGCCCCCAGGATACAGTTGGCACTCCTGTCTGCCAGGGCACTGCTGACTCATCTTCAGCTTTCCATCCACCAGGACCTCCAGGTCCCTTTCCATAGCACTGCTTTCCAACATCTCAATCCCCAGTCTGTATGAACAGCCAGAGTTGCCCCATCCCAGGTGCAGAATCCAGCACTTTCCCTTACTGAACTTCATATGGTTGGTGATTGGCCAGTCCTCTGATTTGTGAAGGTCTCTCTGCAGGGCCTCCCTGCCTTCAAGGGAGTCAACAGCTCCTCCCAGTTTTGTGTCATTTGCAAACTTGCTTAGTATCCCTTCCAGTTCTGTGTCCAAGTCAGTTATGAACATGTTGAAGAGCACAGGGCCTAAGATGGAGCCCTGTGGAACCCCACTAGTGACAGGTCACCAGTCTGATGCTACCTTATTCACTATGACCCTCTGTGTTCAACCTGTGAGCCAATTGCCCACCCACCACATGATGTGTTTATCCAGCTGTGCTGGATATTTTGTCCAGGAGGATCCTGTGAGAGATAGTATTGAAAGCTTTACTGAAATCCAAAAAGATTACATCAACTGGCTTCCCTTGATGAAATAGGTGGGTTACTTTGTCATAAAAGGAAATCAGGTTTGATAAACAGGGCTTTCCTCTCATGAAACTGTGCTGGCTGTGACCAATGACTGTGTTGTCTTTTGAGTGCTTTTCAATACTTTCCAGAATAATCTTCTCCATAACTTAACCAGGCACTGCAGTGAGATTGCAGTGAGATGCAGAACTACATGCCTGTAGTTTACAGGGTCCTACTTTTTAGCCTTTATGAAAACTGGGACAATATTTGCCAGCTTCCAGTCATCTGGGACCTGTCTGGATTCCTAAGATCACTCAAAAATCATCGAGTATAGGTTTTGCAATGACATCAAGCCAGAATTCTTTTTATTGTCCCCCACATTTCTGGCAGCTTCAACTCCACTTGAGCTCTGACCACACAAATTTTCTCCCTACAGTGGCAAGCAGCATTTCTATATTCTTCCCATGCCACTTGACCTTGCTTCCACTGGGCATACACCTTCCTTTTTTGCCTTATTTCCAAGAGAAAATGCCTGCTCAGCCAAGCTGGCCTTCTGCCTCACCTGCTTGACTTCTGACATTTGGAATTGCCTGCTCCTGTGCTCTTAGGAGATGATGTTTAAAAACTGACCAGCACTGATAGACCGCAGAACCTGCAAAAACAGCAGCAGAAGAAGAGAAATAGCTGGCTGTACGGATGGCAAAGAGAGACAGAGTGGACTGCCTGGAGGGGGGAGCACCACAGACTCAATCAAGATGAAGAAATAAATGATGAATCAAGATGAAGAAATAAATGATGACTTTAAAACATAAGACAGGGTTTATTACGACATAAGTGAAAGGTAAAAAGACCTAAAGTGTTTATTTGTATGAGAACATAATGGTCCTTGTCATCAACCTGGTGTTGGAAAAAATGACTTCCATCTAGGGGATGCATCAAAAAATAGGAGATAAGTTTCAGCACTACTAATAGTTTAATGGAAAAAGATTGAATAAGAGGATGAATATGGAAATTAGGGATGACACTGTAATAATTTAAACATGGCATTTGGCAGCAGAAGTACCATTCTCAGAAAAACAAACAACGCTAACCAACATCAGATGTACTGTTATTTTAAAATAGACTTTAATGACAATAAATATAAAGAAATCTTAATATTCAGAAAACTGATAGCAAACATTCTTAAGAAAAATACAAAAGTACATTCTTACATTCTGAATTTTATCACCATACACACAGTGTAAAACAATTGCAATAGTCTGTAACTTATGATTCTTGTCAAGGCAGTGAAATGGTCACTGGTCCAAATTCACCCTGACTTCAACAGATCGGTACAAAGTAAGAGTCTAGCCTACTATCAAGTGTAAAAAAAAACCAAAAAACCAAAATCCCCCACCAATTAATAGTTTAAAACAAATGTTAGTTTTCCCTTCAAGCAGATCTTTAATTAAAGTGACCCAGCCCCCCCAAAAAAGTTACAAATATTCGTTTGTTGGCAACTGCCTCCCCCAGCATTTTGTTCTGATGCCTCTGTAGAGCTCCCTGTGTACAAGCAGGGCACATTTCAGCAGTTGGAGGCAGAGGCTACAGAAATTTCACAGCTTAAATCAAACTATTAAAACGCAATCATTAGGCACTCTTGGTTTTCCTCTTCTCACTCGGAAATCTGCTGTGAATAACACTGTGCACATGGCAAACTGAACAGAATTCCTGATGTAATGTCTTCTGAAATGAAATGTTACATTAGCAAGAAACATGGCATTTCAGAAGCAAATCACCAGAGCAAAAAGTTAATGTTGACTAGGTGATGCCCACGCAGCACTCGCTGCTCTCTTCAGACTAGCTGCATTTTCAGCTCTGCAGACTGAGTGCCTGACAGTAACAATTAAGTGCATATCTAAACCCTGCTTTCTGGTTCAGTTTAAACCAAGAGGAAATCAGTCCATGTGCACTGAGACCAGTCTGTGATGGGGAGCACTGCCCAGAAAATGGGGACGAGTGGAAGACCACTTTCAAAAGCACTCTCGTCATTTGAACAAAAATGGTTGTGTAGAAACACACTCAAAGGTGATTGGCTTTTTATTATGAGAGGAACCCAAGTCATGGATACACAGGCTTTGCAGATGTAGCGTGTTTTTTAAAATCATTATTTTAAAGGCAGGAATATAAACTCCTGATGACACTGAGGGTCAACTCCCCCTTAAGGAAATGGTGCCAACTGATGTAAAAAGGAACAACTTGGAGAGTCCATCAGAATCAAACAAGGAGCAAAAAAGGCACTCCTGAAAATCAGCCTTAAGCTCTGCCACTGCTCACAGTATGACCCCAGGCAAGACACTCAATTCCTTTTTTTTCTAGTCTCTTTACCTCTCAAAGAAGGCTATAAATGCTACCTCAAGACCAAATAATTACCTGAAATAGTTCACTTTGAGCTGCATTCCCCCCCGCCCCCTTTACCACAGGATGCCTCCTTGCCTGTCCCAGCCCTCTAACATAACATCTGGAAAGGTATTTAAGACACACTAGTGCTGTGATCACTGATGAGAGAATGAAAATGGCATCTCTCATCTGAACACCACCGCACATGGGAAAGGGCCAGTTGAAAGCTAAAATCAGAAGCTCCAAGGACGAAAGGAGCTGACTGTCCTTTCTAACCCAACTCATTTTGCACAAGGAAGTCCTGAGTATTTCATTAAAATTGTTCCTTGAAACAGTTGAAACAGTTTTTTGGAAAGAAACACTGTTTTAACCAAAAGTTTGGTATGCCACCTGCAGTGACAGGACCAGAAGCAGTGGTCACAAACTGAAACACTTTTTCACTGTGAGGGTGACTGAACACTGGCATAGGTTACCCAGGAAGATTGTGGAGTCTCCATCCTTGGAAATACTAAAAAGAAGAAAAGAAGACTGACCTGGCAAAACAGGGAGCCTTGGCTGGTATCATGAAAAAAAGGAGAGTTTACAACCTTTGGAAGAAGGGGCAGGCAGCTCAGGAGGACTACCCAAGCTGTTGAGAGGTTATTCAGGGAGAAAATTGGAATGGCCAAAGCTCAGCTAGAACTTCATCTGGCTACTGCTGTAAAAGGCAACGAAAAATGTTTCTATAAATATATTAGCAACAAAAGGAGGGCTAAGGAGACTCTCATCCTTTATTGGATATGGAGGAGGAAGCACAGTAACAATGAACAAGGAAAAGGCTGAGGTACTTAAAGATACCTTTGCCTCAGTCTTTAGTAGTAAGACCAGTAGCTCCCCAAGTACCCAGCTCCCTGAGCCGTCAGACAGGGATGCAGAGCAGAATGAATCCCCGTTGTCCAAGGGAAGATGGTCAGTGACCTGCTACATCACTTACACACACACAAGCCTCTGGGGTTGGACGGGATCTGAGCTGCTGCTCATGGTTTGGACAGACATACTGTTCACTGGGTGAAAAACTGGCTGGATGGCTGGGCCCAGAGAGTGATACCTAAAATACATATAGCTGTGGTAGTCCAGGACATGGTTAAGTTACAGACTTGGCAGTCTTGGGCTTATGGCTGGATGATCTTCTAGGTCTTTTCCAAGCTAATTGATCCTATGGTTCTGTATGATTTTCTTCAAAAGACAGGCTTGAGCTACACAGCAGCCAGTATTTGGAAGCTTTGCTACAAAATTCTGAGGTTTGATTCCTTATGATTATTAATGTAATAATATTTACCTTATAAATGTTACTTAGTTTCTGCAAATGAACTTAATACATAAAAAGCTATCTGAATAATGTGCCTAAAAATTCTGCCTATCTATTGCATTAAAGAAGAGTACAAAATTTGTACAAAATTACAGACACAAAGTAATCACCTGGTTTATAGAGTACAAGCATATTTTTGCTTTTTTAACAAGATTGGGGTTTTGTGATTTATAGAAATTTATAGAAATTGGTCCATTAAAACTGTTAAAAGAGAAAGCAAGTTAATAATCTGGAATATCACTGCTGCAGACATATAGCAGCACTTTACTTCCCTATTTCTCAGTTTGCAGCTGGTCCCAAAATAGCCAAGCGGATCTGCAGCCTAATTTGAGGATGACTGATAGCTGTAGCACATGCCTCCACACTTCTAACATCTTTCCTTGTTATTTAAAGCTTCATAGCATGTTTAAGGCCTATTAAATGGTTTCTTCCAATCTCCAGTTTCAATAGATTCATAGTCTTGTCAGAATTCACTTTATCACACTATGTTGTATCATAGCAGGTCCAGCTGCACATTTGTCCCATGTCAAAATCTCAGGGAAGAACACAGCGTTCCTGGTGTGAGAGAAATGCAAAAGACAGCTCTCCACAGATATTGATTTAGTACGTGAAAAGACTTTTGACACTTATTGCTTTTACAGGTAGGAGACCTTCAAGGCTGTGGGCATTTAGTGTAGAATGGGCAAGTCAGCTAATGAAAATACATTGACTGGGGAAAGATAAAATGCCTGAGTTTTTTACTCACTTGGAGTACCATAAAGTTAGCTTGTATGCATTGATTTCAAGGGAATTCTCCTGTTTACACTGAGATTGATGAACAGGGTGGACTTACAGTCCTGTTCCTTCTCGTGATCCAAGTCCGTGATTAATTGAAATATCTTGTTATCCATTTAAGTCTCAGTATGCATAGGTAATTCAGGCTAGCAAACAACTGCTCTTAGCATGTCAATTCCAATGGCTTAACAACGTGATTTTGAGTTGTATTTTCTTTCTCTTTCCTTCATATTTTGGCTTTTCCCTTTCATTTTATAGTTGAGGTTTGCATTAGGAAGCAATCAAAACTCCTTCATTAGATGTGATGACATTTTTACCACAAATCATTCGTATTCAATTCAAACTAGTTATCTAGTATCTGCCTAAAAAAAGCAGAAAGCACTCTATGTATTTGGGAGTTAATCTGCACTGCCTTAAGATGATAAGTAATTTTTATCTTCCCATGTTAACAAAAAAATTCCTACTAAAGCTGTTTAAAAAACGGATAACTCTTACCTGAGTTGCAGTGGTTGCATTTGTCTAAGGGAAACTGGTAAATGAGTAGGTAACAGTTGCAAGAAACAATGTTTAGTAAAAGAAATTAATCCGAAGTGTTTTATTAGCTATAGGTAATATCTGGACGGGTAATAGTTGGCTAAATACTGTTATTCTATATGAAAAGTACTTATTCAGCTTTAGGTTGGAAAGTGCTGCCTGCTCCTTTGGTAACTTTGTCGGCTATTTTACCCATGTTTTTTTTCACAACTTTGAGATCGTTCTCGTGCAAGAGTTTTTGTGTGAGGTATTTCTCTCGTTTGACCTTGCTCTTGGTCTTTTCTGATACATCCGGGATTGCATATGAAATAATAAACTTCACAAAGTATATGACATGCTGGGAAAGATGAAAATGAAAAAACGTCAGTCAGGCTGAACAGGACATTATTATGATTATAAATGAAATGTCACATTATCTCTTCAGACTCTAAGCTGATTCAGTACCAGTATCTATCACAGCAGAACAGTATTTTAAGAAGATATGACTAATCAATAGAATAATTATCTGACAAACAAGAATTTCTGATTTGATAATTCTGATTTAAGCAAGGACTTCTCTGCCTGCTTTGGGGGAACTCTGGTACCCAGTGCTTCCGCCCTGCATGGAAACATTGGTTACAGTTTCTTATAAGATTTTTTTAGGTTTGTTCAAATGACTCTTGGGCAATTACTTTGGTATGGGAACTCTGATCTAACCAGTTGCATGTTTCTGATGACTTCAGTAGTCCTTGGATCAGACCTTAAGTACATTCTATAGTTAAATAATACCTAATATTTCTCTCCCTTCATCTTGGACTGACTCTGATCTTTTGTAAGCCAAGCGAAGGAAAGAGCAATTGCTTTTTGATGATCACCTAGAGACTCACCTCTTGCAGTGACTGTTTTTATAGACTTCAGTCTGCTAGTGCACATATATTATATATATAAAAATATATATATTTACACATGTATGCATATACACAGCATACATATATGTTGTGTGCAAATTTCCTCTCAGTACATGTGAAAATATTTTTGGTGCAACTATCCCATCTATTTCTGCTGCTGAAAATAATTTCACAGTTCTTGAGAAAAGAAACTGCAAACACGCGGGACAATCCTCAGCTGATATCATGACTTCAGGGACTTCTTTTTCTAATGGTGCTACACTTAATTTACATCTACCAAGCCCTTGCCCATGCCAGCACACATCGCCAGCTCTGAGAGCCGTGCCTGGACAGAATGTCTCTGAAGGATTTTCTGCCAGGAGGGAAGAGACTAAATAAGTAATGCTCAAACCCCTGTACACTGACCTCCATGACAATGATGAAAGCCAGCTTGGCTGCAGTGACATGCCAGTAGTATATGTTATGCTCATATTGGTGCTGGTGACCAGGAGGGTAGCGGAGATCCCGGTATCTGAAAGCAATGCAGGAAAGTCAGGAACTTGTCTCTGGTATTTCTGCAGTACGTCACTGTGGCCAGAGGATGGAGCAAGACATGTCCCTGCTTGATGCATCCAGGAACAATTAGCTCAGGAAACTACCGTAGTGGGTAAAATCATATCTACAAATGAGCTACATTTGGCTGAAATATCCTGTTTTTGCCACTTTTTAAGAATTACTTATAAAAAGGTGCTCTTTTGGAAGACTATCAATTATGAGAAAAACAAATTAAAGTAAGAATCTTCTGAGTAGCACAAACTTACGAGTGAATACTGTGACTCAGTTCTGCCATCCAAAATACGATGGGTTTTTCTGTGTTTTAACATTTTTTACTGGATATTGTTAATTGAATTACATGGTTTGGATAGCAAAGAATTTGTTTTTGTAATTGGAAAATGGCAAACGCTTATTTGACACTTGCCTGCATATCGTTTGGTTCCCAAACCAAGGGGAAAATGGCTTGCTTGCATTCTTGAAGTCCGATATATTGAAGACAGAAAGGGTGCTGTTTATATACCCTTTCATAGTCTGACTGCTGTGACTCCCATAAGGAGGGACCGAAAAGGACCAGTAATAAACCAGACGAGGAATCATGTCAGATGTAAAAGCAATGATCATAGCCTGCATTTCAGAAAGACAAGACAAAAAAAACAGAACAGCATAAAATAAATAGGTTTAATATGCATTCCTTTGCCATATATTTAGTTATCTCAAAAGTTAGAGTATAAGCTAAAAATAGAAAATATGTGCTTTTCCAGTCAGTGGTTGTTCATTCTGTAAATGAGCACATAGTCTCTCACAGGCACAAAACAATCTCTCTCTGGCATGTGCACTCTGTACAGTTTTTAAATTACACTAGCTTTTCCAGATGCCTTAAAAAAGTTATACTATAATACATTTTTTTTTTCTCATGAGCATGCAAAGGACATCCGCAGCCAAACTCATCTTAAAGTACTCTAGGATAACCTTAAAAAAAATGTGCTTGTTATCAGAAGTATTGATGAGATGCTTAAAGAAATTCTGCCTGATGAAACTCATGAAAACAACAGAAGAGTTCTTCAGTAATAGAACATTAAATTTCACCAGAATCCCCGATGTTTGAGTAAAGGAATTAAATAAATTATATATATGCCTCATCCGTCTCTGACCCCACAAACACCTCATTCTGTCTGAGAGGATAGCAAGCCCAAATTCATCTTGGTAGTTGTTACCTCCTAAGTTTCAGTGTCGTACATTAGGAAACTGCTCTTGATGCCAAGATAATTTTTTTAGTAGCAGCTGCATAGTGTTGTTCTATGTATGACGTGATCATTTGTTTTTATGTTGCTCCCAAGAGAGATCCTGTCCTACTCAGTCTGCTAGTCACAAACTGGGTAGGAAATTTGATCTGTATGTTTGTTGTGGGAAGTGTTTTCTAAACTCATGAACTTCCCAAAACATCCTATTCTGGAGGACAGGCTAACTATGTTTAATCCAGTCTCCTCCTCTGCAACTGCAGGTTCAAAGGGTTTCCCTGTGAGAAAGACTTTCCACTGGCAAGATCTGCAGCTGAGTGCCTAGCAAGAGGCTGCCCAGCCAGCTCATGACAACAGGCATCTCTGATGCCCAGCACCTTGGAAGGAGTGACCAGCTGCACTCCAGGACTGAAAGAGAAGTGTTTTGCCCCATGTCAGGGTTAAAAAAAAAATCCTAGAAAACATGGTTAGAAAGAACCAGGACAGAGACATGGAGGAGAAATATGTGAAGCAGAGATCTGATGAGATCAGGGGAAGGGAGCTTTGGCAGAGATGTATAAAAGGGGAAGAAAAAAGCTATAGAAAAATCATGGGACAGTGGCAGGGGCAAAGTTAAGCAGTAATGGGTAACAGAGGAGCATAAAAGCTCCTGTGTATTTCATTCACGGGTATTTTATTTGCTTTCATGCCAGTCCACAGTTCATGAAGTCTGTATTACCTTATTTTCATGACATGGGGCAAAAATAGTCAACTTTTGTGCATCATTCCCAACCAGACAGCCCCAGCTTGAGGAGGTATTTGTAACAGTTGTCAAAAAAGGGAAGGGGAGAGAGGAGTAAGGTGCAAAAAACCAGTACAGATACCTCTTCTACTGTTCCTTGAGCAACGCTTTGATGGCAGTGCTAGATAAAACAACCTCCTGCCTCTGCCTCTAGCAGTTCACTTGTGCCCTGTGCTGGCTTGAGCATTCCTGGCCCTGTGCAGCTGATCAGATCATGGTGCTGATCTGACTGGGAATCCCTGCTGGATCCTTTCCCTGATCTGATTCATCGTGTGTTGATCAAAATGATGGTGTCGGCACAACACAAGAGACAGTAACAAGGGGAAAAGACAGATAAGGGAAGGGAAAGGGCAGGGAGTTGAAAAGGGTACAAGATACACCCTACCTTAAGTAGCACCACTGCCAAATGACAAACACTATTCTACTATTTGAATTGACTTAAAAAAACCTGAGAAGCTAAACTGTAGTTAAGATAAAAGTTGCAGAAACAATCTTTTTGAGACTGTGGTCCAAGATTAGTACTTGGTTCTCCAGAATATTTTTACAAGTGAGTTCAGCTGAGTGGAAGTTAATTTGGCTGATGAGAAAGAAAAGGGAGGCATCCTAAGACTAAAATAAACTCACTGAAAATTTTCAAGGATAGGGTGTTTTTCTTGTACTGCACTTTGGCTTAAAACAAACGTGGTTGGCATGCACTTTTAAATACTGTTTTAAGCATTTCATGCCAGTATAAAATGAAGTGAAAATTACGTGTTGTTTATATTTACATGCTGAGTAGGTGTTTTTGACTGACAGTGAATATGTATTACTGTGTCTTGCAGTTGCAGGGAGATGACCCCACAGCTAAATTATTGTTTTTATCTCTGAAGTAGAGTTAAAAGCAGGGTACAAGTAGATTACTTATACTCTGAAGTACAAGCACAGAAATATTTTGTTATATATGTTTTCTCTCTGTTCATTAGTTCATCTAGTCAGATCATAAATGAACTGTTAGCAACCTAATATTAAGGCAAAAAAATCCCTTCTTCCTTTTGACAAAAGGAGTTTGATGGTGCTTTTTGTATCCCTTAGAAAGATGCTGGAATATGGTATTAGCACAGCTTAATACTTGATCTCACTGATTTTTTTTTTTTCCAAGTTTCCCAGGTTTCTCATCATCCTACATTTGAACAGTCTCACTCTCCTCCCTCTCTTAGAATGATCTCCAGATGTGCTCTGGAGAGCTTCAAGGACAGAAATACGAAAGCTAATCCTGCGGCATGCTCTCAAAGGAAAATTTTTTTCCTCTTGAATTATGGGCTGCATTTCAGAGCATTGCACTGGAGAACTACAAACAAACAGCACATTCTTTGCTTCTCAAGCTTTACTGCACACAGTTTTCCATTTACACCATAACTAATTAAAAGCAGCCTTCAAATCAACAACAGATGCTTTGGTATGCAATAGCAAGTCCAGTGCCTGAGTGGCAACTCTCAAAACTGTTAGCTTTGTGCAAAAGTTACTTGCAAGCTACTAGCAGGTGTTGCAAAGGTTATGCATGAAGGAGATGATACACTACTGGAGTCTAATCAGCTGTAACAAGTCACATAGAAGAGAAGAAACAGTTTCTGTGTACTAAGGAAAAATCCAGTTAAGGATGGTGAAGGAACAACTTATACTAGATCCTGGATGTCAACCACATAAACAAACATACTTAATGGAAGAAAATTGTTTCTAGTGTTTGGTCTAGCACGTGACCTTACAGCCCACACTTCATTAGCAAGAAATACTACTCTCTTCGAGGTCCTCACAACACCTGCAGCAGGGCTGTTTGAACACAACAGTCTCTGGTGCTGAACCCTTTGCACACCAGCAGCCCCACTGAGGTCATCAGCAGATGGCCCGTGTTCACACTGACATTAACTGCAGAAAGCTGAGTGTGAACACATCCATAAGAGGAGCCTACACACGTCCGAGTTACTGTAAGGTCACCAAAGCCACTTTGACCTGAATAGCGTAAGAACTACGACTGAGGTATAACATTTTAAAGTAATCTCAAGATGTATATTCAGCTTTTAATTTCATATTGGTATTACAAGATCCACCTGAATTAGTTAGTTTATCCAACAGCATAACATATTTGTTTTTCTTCCAGGGCACAAAAATTTTTTCTTCCTTTTATTTTATAAGTTTTCTAGCAGTATATTTTAAAAGAGAATATTACTGATCCAATCAAGTTGCCTCTACTTGTAACAACGCTAGATCAAGCTACGCTTCTTCTGTGAATTTGCATTATCTGCTGGGATTTGCATAATTTGCTGGGATAGTTATAATTAACCATTTTTTGCACAAGCACTAAGCTAAGAGCCCTAAAGTATCTCTGGTGCCACCTGATTTTTCTAACAATCTGAACACATTACCAAAGTTTCATCTAATTTTTAATCTTAACACCAGATTTACTAGTAGGCCTTGGATGTTCACCTGCCTATGAAACAACTGGATTTATGTTTGGATTGCCTCAGCAGAGCAGTGCAAAACAGATGGAGCATACACTCGAGCTGTCTGTCTCCTAGATTCTCTTGTAAATTTTTCATCCTTAAGTACCCTTTCTCCCTCTGCCATTTCTCTGTGCTTAATATCCTTTATATCCTTCTGAGACTCCTCTCTACATCCTAACGATGTTTACCCTACCTGTTCAATTGCTATTAGTGCCAAAAAAAGTTCTGAACAAGAACAATTGCCATTTTATGGAGATCTTCAAATATCTGAAAATACATCTGGCAGCTGAGGCTGACATACAAAATTTTCCTGATCACTGAAATCCACCCTAGACTCCTATTTCTATATGGAACTTCCCTGAGCCTGCGATATAATGAAAACAAGCTACTGAGACCATGATAATCTAAAAGGAACTCAGGTCATCGAAGCTTATATATCTGTTTTTTAAAATTATACTTATCCTTTCAGGGGTAAAGCAAAGACTTTTTAAAGTGGAGGGGAAAAAAATGTGCAGGGATACTCATGTGGGTGCAGGAAGCGGCATATATCTGTCCCTATATTATTTCTGAAAAGCAGAACCCCTGGAGTTGAGACCTCAGATGAGCTCAAGCATTACAGAAGATGCCTGAGATACAGGAATAAAAGTTTATTTCTTATTTAAATTTGAATTGCTCTTTTACTTGAAATAAGTTCCCTAACTATCATGTTAATACCTATAGTAGAGTGCTCAGTTTCATCTCTCTCCTCTTTCTCCAAGTCCACTCTCTCCCAAAGTCCACTTCTTCTCCAAACAGGCAGAGCCTCCTGTGAAAGCTTGGGCTAAGATGAACTCTTGTCTTCAGACTCAACTGCTTTCTCCAGTAACTCCCACTGAGTCAGTAAGGTTCTGTAACTGCAAGGATCAGGTCCAGGAGGAAGTGACACACCTTTAAGTGAGTCGGAAAGACTCCCTGATCTCACTGATAAACAGCAGAAAACACTGACCTTTTTGAAAAAGGTTATTCATCACAGTTAGTCTGTGGTGCAGAGGAAACCAATGGTCACTGCTCCTTTAATAAAGGCCAGCAGTGAGAATATTTTTATAAGTTAATACATACTAGCCACTGTTAAAGAATAAGCAATCAAATAATCCACACTGGTAAAGTTCAATGGCTTATTTGGCTTCCACAATGCAGCCTGTGAATAAGATCTTGGTGAATTAATGATACAGGAAATCTGAACGGTCTGAATGTCATTGTTAGGAATATAATAATCACATTTTTTTCCTAAAAATTTTAAAGAAACTCGTTTAAAATTTAACTTCTTTCTTGTGTACTTAAAAATTTGAAGTACAACTGAAGAACACATTAGTTTGCAAATTTTCAGAAAATTCATTGTGATCTGCACTTTTGAACACACAATTTTTGAATACACAAGAAAGGAGCTGAACTAGCTAAACTTCAACTTCCCCCCCCCACCCCCGCCAAATTCATCCATTTAGCTGTAGATTGTCAAAACCACCCTCTGCTCTATATGCTATAATTTTAGGAAAGATGTGCTATATTCTTCACAAGTAACAGAAACACACATGCAACAAAAAACACACCTTTTACTTTAGATATGATATTTTAGGCAGCAGCCATATTCTGTTTCTAAAACACCTCGAAAGTAACTGAGAGACTACTTACCTGGGCTGAAGCCATAAGCAACTGATGTTTGTAATTCATTTACGATTATTTAAGTTACATTGCCACATGCAGTACTCCCGCATTTGGATGTAGCACCTGCAGTGAAGGCATTTTATCTTTTGCAATTGTTGTCACTGTACTTACATTGGTGACCACAGCCAGAATGGCTATGCCCTGCAGGATGGGCTGCCAGGCACCAATATCTTGTGCCTTCTGCGGAACCATGCGCCTGAATTGAGTTGTCAGCTTCCAGGCATCCAACCGGATTTCCAACATGTTGTTAATAAGAGCCAGAAGAGGAGCCAGGGGGAATGATGCCACAAACAGAGTCACAAAGCCAAACTGTATGACTGAAAAGGAGAGGTTACATTGGTGAGGCTTTCACTTACTGGAGATAAGCATGTACGAGCATGTATAGTTTATTTACTACCACTGCAGGAGAGAGAAACAAGAAAGAGTAGCTGGGTTACTAGTGAATCTTCTGTATGAGAAGACAGGAGCACAACAGTACTGAAAAAAGACCTGCTAGGTGAAGGGAACAGGAAAATGTTACAGGTCACAACACTCCAAGAGGAACTATTCTGGATATTTAAACATCCATTTCTTTCTGATGTCTTCCTCATGAAGACCTGAAAAGCTAGTGACTATCTGTCTCAGTGTTGTGGTGGAAAGCCAAACCAACAATCATTTTATTGGTGTCTGGGTGCTGCCACAAGTACACTGGACATGCTGTGATAGAATGGATGGTGGCAACAAACCAGAGCCCTGACAACTCCCAAGTGACCAGCAACAAATCCTGGTGACTGAAGATCTCTAGGAGAGCAGTCTGACACAGTACAACGCCAGCACATGTCGTCTGCCTTCTGGGTGCATTCCTCAGAGAATGGGGCAAGGAGGCAACAAGTACTCCTCATACACTTATGTGCTCTGTCCTAGTTATAGACTGGGTTGAAGCTTAGCTGCTTAATAAAAGCCTGTAAAACCACCTGACTGCGATACATCAAAACTTGTCTTGGAAAACATTCATGTCTCCTCTGTCTACCTTATTAAGCATTGTTTGCATGAAGAATTTTTTAGAACGTGTTTGTATCCAGCAGTGGTAGTGAATCCAAGCTAAACTGCTACTTACCCATTTCAAGATACTCATAAAACAGTCCAAGTTTTCCAATGGGCTGCAGATGGTAGTCTTCTTCCCAGCGTGGAAGAACTTTTTCTGATCTAGCAGCTGCAGAGTATCTTCCAATTAGGTTCTTGACCAAGCTATCAGCCAGGGAGAAAAAGGACATTAACACCGGTAAAATAACATAAAAAGTTCAGTACATGAAAAAAAATGACATTTCTGCTGTTACAGCTTTAAACAAAGGATTTAGTTATTCTGAACTACTGAAAACTTCCTTCAAACATGAGTATAAACTTTGTTTGCCTTATCCTAAAAGTGGTTATTTGCAAACCAAAAATATGAGTGTAAAGGAGTGGTATATCAGAATCATAGTGATTTATATTTAAGTTGTACAGGAAAATGATAACATAAAATTCAAGATAAGAAAAAAAATCAAGTTAAATGTAGGATGGTGGCTGGACAGATTAATTCTTTCTGATCACAGAAGTCACAGAATCACAGAATTGATGAGATTGGAAGGTACCTCTGCCTTTTGCAGGAAGGGCCTCCTAAAGCCAGTTTCCCAGGACCATGTTCAGGTGACTTTTCAGCATCTCTAAGGATAGAGACTTTTTTGCCTTTGGCAATGTGTGCCAGTACTTGGTCACCATCACAGTAAAAAGAAAGGGTCTAGGGGCAAATTCTATGTACCAACACAGAAAAAACCAAAATGGTTCTCTTTATACTTGCAGACATGCAATTAAGAACTAGATCCAGAAGGGTTACTCAGTATTTCAACACATAAATGTCACCCTGGGAAGTGAATTAAAATTCCAATCGGGTGAATATATTTCCTATACACAGATGGGGAAGTCAGTTGTCTATGGCTGGAACTAACATCTGCAGGCGTGCTCAGTCTAGGGACCCTTTCTCAGGTAAAAGATGATGTTGAAAAGAAGGATGAGCCTTCAGGTCTACTCCACAACCAGCAGCATATACAGAGCATCGTGGTCTGAAGGAGCTGTATCTAAACAGAGCATCCTAGTTTCAACCCTACACAGTATTTATGACACACTTCAAAGTGGGGCTACTGTGAAGCCAAGGAGGAAAATTTGTGGGCTTGGAAGAACCCCAGCCAGAAGGCTGTGCCTATGGGCTGGTGACCACAGCATTCAGGAATGCATGAGCAAACTGGGAGCTCCCTGCTTCAACCAATGTAACACTCACTGATTAGAATGAAATAAAGAACAAGTCATGGGAGAAGAAAGAGAGTCCTTGATAGTATCTTAACCTAAATTAAATAGAGGGCATGTGCGGTTAGCACTCTGCTTATTGCTTGCATTAAAACATGGCCTTCTAGAGATCTACGCCAATGGAAGAGAATTTATAGGCATTAGGAATGTCAAATATGACTATAAAACTAAATGAGTTAAATTAGTAACTTATACATGACTTTTAAAAGCCCAATGTAAAATGACAAATCCTTACAATCAATATTAAGCAACAGTCTGCAGTTTAATATTTTCAGAGCTTCTGTGGTCTCAGTTTTAAATATTCAACCTGAAACACATTGAGTTTGGCTTGCAGAGGAAGGAAGAATTTCTGATTAGAACTAAAATCAGTCAAAACAACAGAGACAAGAGCTCAGACTACAGATCAAAATATCCAAACTGTCTAAAAAGGCCTCAAAATATGTCTTATTCTTTTTGACTACAATATGCACTTATCAAACTCAGTGACCAGTGCCTGAAGACATTAAGACATTAAGAAAACAGTATCTCTCAGATACGAAAGAGCAGATTACTTAGTAATTTGAACTTACGGAAGAAGCACTTCTTGAATATTGTTCCAGATAGCTTTACCTCCTACAATGATGGCAAGCTGGGTTGTGAGCTCAAGGAGACATCCACCTGGATCACACTGAAGGTTGAGAGAGAAATGAAAAATTTTTGAAGTTGGGTAACTTTTCAGGCACGAATGAAAGATTTAAAATAATGCATTCCTGGTTTATTATGTTAACATTTCTTAAAGTAATCCAAGAAGGCTGTTCTAGGCAAACTTTTCCAGTAAGGTATGCAAAAATCAAGTCCAGGCCACATATAGTCACATTTGGTAGGCTGGCAGGACACTGCTGAAAGAGTGAAATACCAGGTGAAGTTATGCAGCTCTGTGCTATCACCAAGTGAGGATCAACCAGCAGAACAGGAGTGCTTCTACTGATGTTCTACCCTTCCTGTGTGCCAATTTACAGACTGTAGGACCGTGGTAAAGTATATTGTTCTGGCTATGTGTACTACATTTCTAAGCTCAACTGGTTTTGTGTCATATTCTATGCTAGGGGCTACTGAGGAGGGAATTGGCTTGGGAGGCAGTTGTTTTTTAAACCCTAATGTTAAGTATGCCTAATTATTTTTCACGTTATACACTCTTAAATGCAGAAGAATATCTGGACTAATTAAACATTCATACCTCTTCATTGCGATACTTTCCCAGCCAATAAATTGGATTTCCAGGGTGACCTACAAATTTACCCTTAAAGAAGGCTATGTAGAAGCATGAAGAATAGTAGTTGACAAACTGGAACAAGAACATCTTTGTGGTCAAACTGTTTTCATAATCGGTCTGTGTCCTTGGAAGTTCTGCAATGAAAGAAAAGTAAATAAATAAAATAATAATAAAAATCTCCCAACCTACAAGTAACCTACAGGCTGCTTTAGAGTCTCAGCTGCAAAGTATCTGTATACCTCATATTCCTTAATATGACTGGCAGCACTATAAATGAGACTGTGCATAATCCTCATATATACTAATATACTATACCATTATGCTAATTCTAAAACTATGTGGGTTGTAAAAAGGAAAGAACTAGTTCCCCAACAATAAAGACGAAGAAGCAGCAAAAATTCTGATAACTTGGGGGAAAAAGAAGCACCCAAATCCAATACACTCAGGAAAGATGCAAATGTAACACTTTGAACTGACGAAACAGTATTAAATGAAGTTGTACTAAAGCAATGCACTACTTCACACATCTAAAGTAAAATAGCTACTTTAATGTTGATGGACTGGATAGAAAGAATAATATTATTTGTGACTGTTTATCTGTTTAATAACATCAGAATGGTATGTAGCTTTGGAACTGCGACCTTATTTCACTTATTACAAGATAGCTATTTTCCCCATAAAAAAACCTAATGTAATTGAATGTGTTATGCCTTCTGATCTGTTTTCATAAAGCTTGGTTGTTATAGTAATTTTCTTTGCTTTGTCTATTTCACAAGCACAAAACTGTAACAATTGATCTTTCATGCTGCCTATACAAGGACTTTTCAGGCAAAGAGCTGAATATGATATTCCTTTGATATTAAAAAAATCTGTATTGGAAAATTTCTGAGTGGTACTGTGTGATTTGGTGGGAAAATTCTGAAATATGTAGTCCAGGTTTTCATTTATCAAAATATTTATTATATATATATAAATGCTAATTTTTTCTAGCTATTTTACCCCAAGTTTCTATCTGAGGTACAGCAGCTGCATACCGAAGTCAGTAATCAAGATTGCCACTTTTTCATAGATGATGTTGAGAATCATAATGACTACAAAGCTGATGAGGGAAGCAGTTATTGAAGTGGCTGTCTGCGGAGTCAGGTACTTGCTGATCACCTCCGTTCCACTAATGTGCTGTGACAATGTTGCAGAGAACACCAGGAAAACCGAGAGCCTGTAGACAATGATTCCAATAACTGAAGCAATAATCAAAAGGATCTGCCAAGGGAATGCAAGAAAGATGTTAATGTTCAACCATTGGCTTTAGGAAAATGTGAGTTTGAAACACTTTTTACTATAGGCAAAAGGAAAACAATTGCGTGCCTGTCGTTCCATTGCAAGAAGATGGTCAAATAAGATAGAAGGCAATAAACAGGGAATCCATAAAAGAAGCCTTTTTTAATGCAGCATAGTCAATCTGCAGAAAAGAAAAGAGATGGTCTATTTTATGACTAATAACAGGGTTTGTACTGATGTAAGCGTAATGATAGATGTAATCAAATCTTACACTTTAAGGCACGTGATGGGAGAAAACTCCCTCTTTTGACACTGAGCAATTGGCAGGACAGCAAAATGTGCTAGCAAGTCGGCACTGATTATGGAGGGGGCTGCACATTCTCTGCCACATGATACTATTACAGACTACAGACCTCTCAGAGGAATAGACAAATTTTAAGCCAAGTCATGTAGTCTGCAGGAGTTGTAATAATGATCCATGCACCCCCACTTGCTTGCCCTGTCTTTCTGCTTCTCCTCCTGCTTTTATTTCTTGATAGTTGTCTAGCTATTATTCAGTTTGAGGTCTACAGAGCTGTGTATCTAGCTATTATTCAGTTTGAGGTCTACAGAGCTGTGTATCTTTCTTTCACTATCTCAGCAAACTATCATGAACTACATCCCCTGGCCCTGCACACAATAAGAATGCAGTAACACAAATGATAAACCCGGACCAAATCTCCCCTCCAACCTGAACTCTTGCCCATTTAAATCCAATTGCAAGTCAGTATTCTTTCCTTTGTGTTTCAACTTTCTCAACAATGAGGCTCTCCTGGGCTGCCACTCTATTTCCTCTCACCTAGGATGAGGTCTTTTTCAGCTGCTGTTTGTGCTACATAAGAGATAGACATGCAGGAGGCTAAAACATAGAGCTTTTCAAGGTGATCTCTCTAGGCCAGCTCAGTGTGTTATGCATTGTTTCATGGGTAACTGTAACTCTTTCAAGGTTTAGTTGTAATTAAAGCAGCATCTCTAGAAGACTGGAGAGCACCCAGCTTTGCTCAGTTAAGTGAAAAAAACCAAAACTGAAAGAGGCCATGGACTATGAGACACAATATGGAAGCCCACAGCTGGAACAAGAAGGATAGAAATTAGCAGGGAGGAGAGCATATAAACCAAAGTCTTTCCCTTACTCCCCCTGGCCTCAAAAAAAGAAAAAAGAAAAAAAAAAAAGTAAAGCAATTTGCCTTAAAATAATGAGGGAAAAACCAATGGAACATACTGACAAGCATAACTCAGAAGCTACAGCTCCAGGATATTTTGATATCATATGGTAAAGAGTACTGGGTGACTACAGCTACCTTCTCCTTGTAGGTCCATACCTTATGGGCTTGATTTATGCATCAGATGGAAATTCTGAGCCTATTCCATTGTCATTTTTTGTTCAGTTCAAGAGGATCACTTTTTAGATACTTACTAGAAAACTGAATTCATGAAGGGTAAGAGTAAGAGAAGAACTTTACCCAGAAGAAGATGGCACTTGTACAGAAAGTCATCCGTATGCACTTCCCACAGGCAGTGTATGGCACATGTTCTTCTTGCTGTAAAAGATAAAGAAACAGCTGAAAGATGCACCCAATCTTTCCTTCATATTTTTTCTGTGCTCCAATCAAACTCTTTATGATATTGAGTACAGAAAAAAAAAAAAAAAGGGAAAAAGGGTCTCTCTTTGTTTCCTTTTCTGCTCTATTATCCTGGAAATTCAACATTTATACATGATTTCAGAAGTCTTGCCTGATAACAAGTGTCGTTTTCTTGCTACCCATTCTAAGATAAAAATTACTTCCATACAGGCTGTGTCCTCAGCTCTTACTGGCTTTAGCCATGACAGGATGCATAGTTGCTTTTGAATGGATCCATCCTTCTTCGCTGATCATGGCATCCAAGGTCATTATCTTTTGGTCCTATTAAATTTTGGTCCTTGATCTCTGTATTTCTCAGTTTATTCCACAGGAACAATTGGATGGCTCCCCCAAGGAAAATGCCTACCTCAACGTGGTGCTGTGAAAATTCAGAGTCTTTATAAGATCTCTGAGGATCAAAATAAAATACTTTAGCATATTCTTCACTGTTTGAACTATGACTTTATACATTCAGGGTGGCATAGGTTTATGAGCTTTTAAACAGAATGAGTTTTTGATAATACAAGATATAAAACCAAGATCTATATAGGATAGTTTCAACTGCAGCAGTTAATTTTGAAACTTTTCAAGTGCCCTCTAATAAACACTAGTATAATGCAGATGGAATGTGAAAGCAGTGCAAATGATCAGATAAACAACAGAGTAATATCTTGAAAGAGAACAATAAAAAGTGCATCTGAGCATGAGTGAGCTGCTGAAGCTAAAGCTACTCAAAATGTACAGTAAATAGAGATCTAAGCTAAGATCCTCATAAATACAAATCCTACTTCATTGAAATTAAAATTTTCCTTGTCTCTGCGAGTTATTTATCTCTGTTATTAATCGTAATTGCATCCTCATGCAGTCAGCAACAATAGTTATTTATATATGTTTCAAACAGAGACAGGTTAAAAAAAGTCTTGGCACGATATATAACAATGGAACATATTTCCTTCTATTTCACCTTTTTTTCCTGATGTATTCTTAGGCAAAGATAGCAAATGTTCTGTGATCTTGGGCTCTGGCAGCAACACTGAATCATTTCTTGGGGGTTTTAATAAAGCAGACTTAGTTTCCTAAACTGGGGAAGATGCCTACTTCTGTTTATTTATGACAGGAACCTCAACAGTGTAAGTTCCTCAAGCAGGCAACTACTTTAAGGTGCTTACAATTCAGTATAAATTCCCTCCCCATGCATCTGTACTTTATAAGTTCACCATTTGCAGCCCAGTTTATCAACTTGAAGCACTGCTGATTTACAGAGTTCTAGTCCAGATTCACCATTTTCACAGTATTTGCTCTCAAACGTGTCTATTGCAGTAACCATCACCAGCTATCAAAGTGTTCCTTACCTGTGTGATTTCATTCATTACTACGTGAGTGCACCGAGCTTCATATTCTGGGCGAACCTGTTCTTCTTGTTCCAAGTACTCGACCGTGTCCCACTCATACTCCAGCTCAGCCTGCCGTCGCTTCCAGAACTCCAAAAACAAAGTAACTGTACAAAAGACAGACAAAATGAGCAATGCCATGGGAGTATTGGACACCGTTTGACCCTCTGGGCTAAAACATCTGGCTCAGTTTTCCACACAGCCTTCCACAGACATGGAATAAACCCCTTACTGGCTAATGCAATGGTGAAAACAACTGGATCTACTCCTTTATGCAACTATGGCTTTGGATATATATACACTTTAATAAGGGAAACCTGAGGTATAATAACCACATGCTGAAGAATGTATACACTTTTTTAATATATTTGCTTTCTGCCTAAGGCTAGAATATGAATACTTTGGATTTCCTATTACAGACTGTTTTTAAAAAAGTTTATCATGGGATGCTTTAGAAAGCACTTTGGTTGAATAGGTGAAAACAAAATGCTGGAGAGTGAAGGAATTCTAGAAAAACAAAAATCACTATGCCAAAAATTGTTACAGGGAAGAGCTCATATTCATTCAAGTTGCAGTTTTTGTGTGGACAAAGTATCACTTTGCAGACTACAAGAACCAATGATGGTTCAGGAAGAGCAGCTTAGACACAGCTGTCCTTCCTCCTCTGATAGCGTGGAGCTGAAGGGACTGCAGCTCTTTTGCAAGGCATGGAGCTTAGACCAGCAGTTTCCCTGGATTGTGCTCCTACAACTGGAAGTACTGAGGGACCAGGTAGACAGATGCCTCAGTGGTACTGGCTAGACATGAATTCAGTCAAACTCATTACTTCGTCTGAAAACATTAGGCAGATCTGGCAGCAGAGGTAATAATAAACCCAGATGGTAAGGCTGGGAGGAGCTTGAGATGATGGATGTCAGTACCACACTCCCCAGTATACCTGGATACTCCACTACTGAAGACACATCATCCTCAGATTAAATGAATGGTGTGACTCTGAAGCACTGGTTCCAGGAGGAGTTAGTATACCAACACTGCACTCAGTGCTCTCATTGTCTGGGAGTAATTAACCTTAAAATATTTTTATTAAAAATTAGGTTGGCCCCTCATCCTGAGCGATGAAACCTCAATGGCATGCAGTTACAAGTCCAAACATTAAAGGTTAAGTCCAAAATCAGGTGTGGTTGATAATCCCCAAACTGAAACATTTAAAACCCAGGAAAATCTATGGGCTGGGCCATGAGACGACCTTGGCATTGCACATTGGCAAACTCCAGGAAACCCTACTCCCCTGGCTATTCAGGGGCCTCTTTCACAAGGGCTTAATAGACAAGGCAAGGACATTTCAAGCAGTGGATCAGAGGATCTCATCTGCTTTCTCCTGCAGAGCAAGGATATTAGTCTTCCATAAACCTCTAAATGCTGTCCAGCCCACAGGAAACTACAGGCTATAGTAATTTGCTCCAGCTGAAAATTCTTCTGCTGTGTAAGAGCACAGAAGTGGAGGGACTTCTGTTATGATAGTCTCAGGTGCTAACAGTGAAAGAAGGGCACATAACCCAGGAAAAGCTCTCCCATCCCTGATACTAAGACAATTTCTACTTGCCAGGTTGTGTCTTTCAGAGCAGGGCAGGACCTGCTGCTAGATTTGACATTTTCTTTTTATTTTGAAGCAACATTACTGCAGCTGTGAAACCAAATGATGTTTCAGAATCAGGAGATCAGAGCATTAATTCCACCTCTTGCTGGTAATTTGTGATGCCCCCTTTTGTTTATCCCTCAACACTACCACTCAGCATGGCCCAGGTATTCTGCCTCTGAAGCTGTGCCACCAAGGTCTGAAAAGATATGCCTCCACTGGAGAACATTTATTGGTTTAACTGATCTTGCTCAGGGACGGGATCCAAGGAGGGCAGCAAGTGGAAGCTGCGCCTTGTTCATGACCTTTGGCATTGTAGTTGTACCATCACAGAAGAATTGGCAGAGCATTAACGTACAGAGCGATAATTCCTCAGGCCAAATTCTCTGGTGTTTGATAGTGCTTCAAATTTTTTGAAGGGAATACACACACACACAAAATTGCAATTATTAGAAGTGTATTGATGATAATGATGCAATAATATATCTAAAAGTCTAATATTATTTTAATTGTTTTGGACCAGAAGGTCTGCAAAAGTATTAGAGCAAGATGAAAATTACAGCTGGAACTGCACCATGACCATGGGTCATTTGGATCCAGTACAGTTTTGGCTGAATTTCTGCAATATAATTCACCTCTTTATATAGTGGGCTTACAACAAGAATACTAATAGACCTTGCAGCCATCACTGTAGCCGTGAAGCTTAACTTTGTAATTATTACAAAGCTTAACTTAGTAATTATTGCTCTTGGAACCATCCTTCAAAACAGGAAATACAATTTTAATTAAAAATAAAATTGCAAATAAATTAACTATTGAGGTGATGGGGTAGATCACATTGGTATTAAACTTCTAATAACCTTTTATTTAGTGAATTTCCAGCTGGTATTTTGATTATAGCATATGTTCTGAAAGAAAACTTATTTTTGAAATGATACATTTGATCTTACATTTCTTTAAAGCAAGAGTTATTTTGAAGCACTTTAGGTCATCGTAGGGAAATAAAAATACAGTGCATTTTACAAAGAAAGCAAATTGTATATTCTTGTCAGCCAGCATATGAATTCAAAATATTGCACGAGTTATTTTCTGTATACTATCCTGTATACAGTGCTAACATTCAACTTATTTTTGTAGTTACTGGGTAAGACTGTGCAATAAAAGCCAGTTAACAAAGCTGCTATGTCTCTAGGAAAATAAATCTTGTCTAATGCCTTGAATACAGTACCAAGTGGTTTCAGCTGTGGGAAGCATCCTGGTGTCAGATACATTTTTGCTCCTAAAAGATAAGTGTAGTGCTTGTAACTACCACAATTTTTACAATCAGCTTCTTAAAAAAAGATAGGAGTAAAAAACTCCTGGGAAATACAATAAATTACTATTTTTCAATTGCCTTGTGTAGTCACACAGCTCTTAGTAGCACAGGCAGCTCCAAAACTCTTTGGAAACAAATCCAGCTTCTCTGACAAATATACTTAAGCATGTGGCTGGCTCCTGCTGGATGAACATGAGGTAGCCTTAACCACTTCACTCGGACTTTTCTCCGAGTGCAACAAAACCAAACAGATTCTGAAGACCAACTTTTAAGTCTGCAATTTTTCTGTTTTCTTGTGATGCTAAAAACCAGTTCCTGTGAATGTGCATATTTTCTATGGAACTACTTACCAGCAAATTCCTAAGTGCTAGAAAATGAAGTCATTGCAAATTTATCCGTGTTTTCTTGGCTGATGCTGGAGGCATGGTCAAAATTAGATAACAAACCACAGTTATTGAAATTGACTCACCCCATATCCCCATAAATACCGCAAACACCAGCGTTCCAAAGCTATCAAATATACAGAGTTTCTGGAAAACATGGAAAAGGTAAAAGAAAGGCTTAAAATATAATCGACCGTTTTTATTTTTCTACTCTGACCCAGAAGAGAAGCTGCTTACTGAACATGTTGATTTTTAGCTTTTATGTAGTTTCATAAACAATCTTTATTGATAGTGTTTCCTCAATTTCTGTCCATGTACATCACCCTTCAGTAAATTAAGGAAATTAAATGCAGAGCTCAGAATTAAAAATATAAGCCAAATATGCAGTAAGAAGGATAGTAAAATGGTGTGCTATCAAACTCCTTCCACCTGTTGCATAGGAAGAGTAAAAACAATGCTTCTGGTCTGGGAACTCAGTATAGACCTATGTATTTTTAATATGGCCTCAAAAAGGCAGTGCACACATCTGGTTCTTGTAAGCAGGATAACAAATAGGTTAGTAAAAACACACTCTGATGAGATACCTCTTTTGTCACAATTTGCCTTTTTCATTTTTCCATCATAGCCTTTTCCCCGCATTCTTATTTCTTTTACCCTTTCAATGAGCCCATTAAAGCTGGGCAAAATATTTTTGATGAATAGCTGAAAAATCACAGTTTTGGGACTGAATCTATGGAGAGGAATGACAAAAGGCTAACATTAGTGAGACAAGGAAATGGAGAAAGAAAGTCAGGTTTCTCTAGGCAGGAACAAAGAGCAAGACTCTGGCTGTGTCACAGACAACAGGACATGGCTGTGTCACAGCCCCTCTCACGGCAAACACCAGCCTCTCCCTTGTACCCCTCCTCCTTAACAACATAGATCAAATTCAAGGCACAGATCCAGGTAACTTCTTTGTGGAGGGAGGGAGCAGAATTTAGAAATGTCAAAACAAGTTTTAAACATTTCCTTAGCAAAATTGATTCAGAGCTACTGAATCACGGCTTTAGCAACCGGATCTTTCTCTCCCCAAAAGGAAGAAGTACCTCCAAATGAAACCAACTTTCAATTAAAATAACACTTTAATCCCGTATCAAATAACCAGCACCTATGTGACATCAAAAAAAAAAAAATTTCATTTTAGATAAAATTGGAGCAGTTAATGTTGTTGCTTTTACTTTTCAAAGTTGTCACTGTATGAAAAGGCACAACTATTTGCACATTTCTAGCAATTCTGTGGGACATTAGCGGAGGAACAACATTGTTTTATATGTAGTTCTAGAGAAAGTGCAAGTAAAGTTCAGTATCATATCCATAAGCTGTAAATGTATTTACCTTGGATGATTCACAAGTGGTGGTGAGGTTCCAGTAGGTACATACTTTATCACACTGAGGGCACATTATGATATTACCTCCTATGTTGGGATCACATACTTCTTGGCTAAAAACAAAATTAGTCAGTCACTCACCAACACTGAATTCTTTAGTCCCTTTCTGAACATGAGGACAGTGCAATAATCTCAGGGAATTAAGTAACTTACTAGTGATCTGCTCTCAAGAATTCCACTCCCACCCCTCGCCCTGGCAACACATTTCCATTCTTAGTCCTCATCTCAAAAATGGATGACATAGGAGGAAAATAATTTCCATCCCTTGTACATGGTGGTAATTCTCAAAACTTCCCACATTAAAAATAAATCAGCTCTTCAAAGATCTCACACTCTTCAATAGGGAACCCACAGCTGCATGCTCAATGCTATTGTAGCAAACCCAAGGGGAGAAGGATGAGGAACACTGCCTACCAGAACAAGGAATAGCTGCAGAGGTGAGGGGCTACCCTGTGGTCTTCAAAGAGGATCAGATTGGAAATTGTGCAGAGGGGAGCTGGCAGGATGATTCAATGAATGGTAGATTTGTCTCCTAAGAAATGGCAAAAGAGTTGCCATCTAACTAATACATACTACCACCATACTAGTATGGTGGTGGCTGAAAGGTAATGTAAATGCTTGCAATTCATACATTGGGGGATAAACACCAGGGAGGAGAGATGATCTGTTCAACTAAATTATAATATTGGCTATAGATTAAATGTGTATAAATTTGCCACAGGAGTGGAGCTCTGGAACAGCCCTTCAGCACGGATTATGAACATCACCCCAGGAGGGGGTATACAGTGGGATGGCTTATAGACCATTTGACACAATGATCCCTGTTCATTTTTTTTCTTGAGTCATTTTGCTATGATATAATTTTGTTGTGTTCTGATGAGGGAATCTATGTCATGGCTATGCCTTCCCTCCCAATATATACCCTGGGCAGCTGAATACTCCTGTGCAGCTATTCTTCCTCTATTCTCTCAAAACTGAGGAAGGAAATTATGAGGATCTTTGCATATCTCCTTTCAAGATTATCAGAGTGAAAATTACGTGTTCTGGCAATTTGTATTGACTTCCAGTTGTCACTCTTTTCATGTTTCTACACTAGGTGTGGTGAACCTAGCAGAAAATATAAATAAAATGAGGAAATAACAAACTCCCAGATGTCTATCACTGTAATGGTCCCTGTTAATCTTCTTATCTCATATTTTATGCCTTTACCTTCAAATCCACAATGAAAGTTGATCTCAGGCCCTTTAATTTTGTCTCTTTTATTGTGCAGTGTCTTGGAAACCCTGTATAGTCCCCCTCTGTACAGGACTGATCAAAAATGCATGTGATACTAAAACAGGCCTGACGTACCTCCACGTGCAGTTGTCCTTTGTCAGGTATCCATAAAGAAAACATCCAACTCCTACAACTGCAGCCACAGTCAGCATATTGGTGTAAAAGCCCAGCCAAGCAAAGTAGATGCCAATTTTCTCTCCGTAGTATTTCCTGTGGAGGGGAAAGATTTTTTTTTTTTTCTGAAACACAAGTAAATTAACATTTCTGTTTCAAATGTCTCTTCATTTCATACATTTTGTGCCAATCCACACTGTCCTATTCCTCTGGTTTGAATTAGGGACTGCAGTATTATTGCTGCTGGGTATTTCTATCACCACTTTTATGTTTTTGTAAGAGGATAGAAATGGAAAAAGAAAGAATAAAGAGAGAAAGACCATACCTTGCAAAGAAAAAATTTAAGTGGTTGCCTTTTCATAAATTGGCTTATCATGAAAGCAAGCTCAAAGTATGCTCCTATGTATGAGCTGATCTGGGTGTGCGTATCATCCCTCAAAACTGACCTGTGTCTCTCTGACATCCCCAAAACCAGACCTGTTATGTAAAGTCCTAGTTCCCCCTGCATTAGTCCAGCCCAAGTCACACAAACCTGATGAAATCCAGGGGTTGCAGTTTGAAGATGTTTTTAGGATGAGCCCATTCTCTGTAAAGAAGATATCGTTCACTTGGGCAGTTGGGATCAGTTGACAGGTTCCTAAAATTAGACTGCAAAACAAAAAGAGCATGGGAAAAAGATAGCACTAATCCAACCAGCATAGCTCAACTCTCATCTCTGAGAGAGACCATCCCTATGCCATGAAGCCAGAATAGCCTTTTAGACCAGTCTCACTGCAAGGCAGGAAAAGGAGCAGGAAGGTAGCTCTGAGAATGCATCAGGATTCAGGACAGAACATTGTCAGAAAGACACTGAATACTAAAACTAACACTGTATGCATGTGAGCTGTAAATAACATGAACTTAAATCTAAGCACATGTCAGCATCTTGGCACTTAGGAATAGAAAATAAAAAGGGATCCAGTCTAACTAGAGAACAGGGCTGAATTAAAATGTATTTTAAGTAGCTTTAACACGCTAGTATGCTTTGCTTCAAAATAATACTGTACTAGAGTGCAGGCTGGAAAGTCTGTGGGATAAATCCAGGGTCTCTAGTCTCTGTTTTAGATTTAAAAGGGAGTTTACATGGAGATAATCCTTGTTGTTTTTACTAGGCTATTTAAAAAGCTATTTCAATAAAACCTACTTTATTTGAGAGAATTCGCCATCTCTGTGATGCAATGTTTGCAGAAATCTACAGGCTACTTTTGATTTTCAGAGCAGCTGAGATATATAATTTTAATTGTATGAAAAGACAGTCATTAATTACTAGTCATACTGAGTCCAAATTCCCCATGCTATGAGAGGAACAGCCTGCAAGACAGGTTTTAAATCTTTAACAGGAAACCTTAAAAATGAATCATCACAGATTATACTAATTCTATCCTGTAAAGCTTTGTTCACTTACAAGAAACATGATTTGTCTTGATTCTACCTAAAGATTTCCTTGAAATCCTTGGAAGCCTCCTGAATATTTTAAGACAAGTCCAAGCAGCTGAAGGAGTTACTGGCCTCTCATGTTCTCAATGTCTCCTCAACAGAACACACAGAATGGACACAGAATGGTGGTCCTGATGCAGAGGTGTAAGGTTGTGTGTATGTAATAGAATGCAGAAAATCAGCTTGCAGTCTTTGCACACTGTATTGCATTTACAGCTTCACATAGAGCTTTTCCTTAGTCAAATACTCTGAAAACTGATTTTTTTTTTCCGTTATTTTCTATTGCTGTGCTATTGCTAGCCTTGGAATACAAAACAATTTTCAGTATAACTTTCTTCTTTAAATTATGTAACTTGAAAAGTTTCAGAAGTGTAGCTACAAAAGCTAGATTTCTTATTATTGCAAGATGAAATTCAAACCAGTGAAGGTTCTCCCTGCAGGACTCTGACATCACCTGCGAGGCATTGGACTGGCTGGGTGTTGCGGTATATAAAAGGATGCAGAAGTTTTAATGTTGTTTAAAGTGAACATGCTTTCAAAATGGCTTTGTAACTCTTTGTGTAAACTCACCTTCTTCCCAAGGTTCCTTAGTCTTACCTCTACCTTTGGAATGTCTAAGAGATAACTGAGAGCTCATCTATTGGTTGTTAACCCATTATTGTATTGGCTAGTTGTAAGACCTCCTGAACCCCCACTGGTCATTTTGTAATCCCCCCAGGAGGTATTTAAGCAGCTACCCAGAACAATAAATGCTCTTTCTGCCTCACTCCCTCACCTCCCCCTCCCGGACTAGGGGTAAAAGGAAAATCCTCTAGCCTGGGAGCCCTCTCCCTATCCACCCTCAACATTCGTCAGCTGAGCAGAGTCCCTGCAGAAACCTGAATCTCCCTGCATGTACACTGCAGTGTTTGGGAACTGTAGGAATGCTTCTCACTCTGCAAGACTTTCACGCATCCTAAGATGAGATTTGTAGTCTACATCTTTATCAACAATGTTGATATTTGATTGGAATTTTAATACTGAAAAACTTGATAATAATGAAAGGGAAAAGTGTTAAAATTGATTTAGAACTGACGACACATTGTGTCATGGGACCCATCACTCAGATCAGGCACTTTACTGAACACCTCCCAGAGAATACAAATTTAACAACTCTCAAGTGAAATAAACTGTTTTTCAGGTATAGAACTACATTTTTAACCAACAGTGCTTTGGAAGAAAATCTGCAGCCAAACCATGTCTTGTTCTTCTACATAGATATAATAACCAGTCAAGGAATAAGACAATGAATAGTGCTTGTATCTTTTGACATAAACCCCTCAGATAGAGTTCAGACCTCTATTTCAAAGTGTATTTTAGTTAAAAGCACTGGACTTACATCATGAAGGGGAAATGCTGCTTTGTAGATTCCAGTGTCCAGTAATTTGTTAATGCCAAACTTTTTCACATTGTTTTTGGTTGCATATTCCACACGGGACAGGATAAAATGAACCTGAAATTTATAAAATATTTTTTTTGTCTCTTAGAATCTGATAGTAATCATACACAGCTATAACTGTCTCAACATACAATCAAGTTAGCAAAGGGTAAGCATTACAGACAAAATTAATTGCATAGGGTATATACAAACTGTTCAAATCCCTCCTTTAAATTCAGGTGGAACAGAGAAGGAACAAATGCAAGGAATGTTTTCCTTCTGGATTGCCCAGGCTATTTCATAAATAACACGGGACTATTGCATCCCAAACATTTTTAATTTTTCAGGACGTTTTAATGAAGGTAATTACATTGATTTGATTAAGGGAATAGTTTCTTTTTAAGACTAAATGCTAGAAATACTCCATGGACTTACTATTCGGCTTCTGGTTGCAGGATTGAAAAATGTGTCTTTGTCATGGATATAAAAGTTTGACAAATGTTCCTTTTGAAAAGGGGCAGTGAAAAACTCTTGTTCAGGTTTGATGATATTTTCATCCACTCTGAAGAGTCTACTAAACCAGTTGAAAGCTGAGTCTTGGGTTTTCAGGTCATTGTGTTGCAGAGGCATTTTGATGTGCATAACCTCGGCATACGTGCACAACACTTCCCAAGGTGCATGCACTTTCACAAAAATAAGTTTCTCATCCAAAACCTGAGATGAAAGAATATTGAAAATATATTTGTGTAAGAAAATGAAAGCAAGGAACTTTACACAACAATTCTTGAACTACCTAGAATTTTCTCTCTCTTTGCAGCTCATCAATGACCCATTCAAAGTTGCATTCATTGTCTGTCTTAGCAAATTTATCATTAGGTTCTGTAACGCAAGCATTTACTTTCCTATGAATGTGAAGAGCCAGACTGTATCCTTGGCCATGCAGCAGGAGTCCCCACTGCATAAATCAAATAGTGTGATACCATGGATTCTGAGTCTAAGTTGGGAGGAAGGGTCAAAGTGACCTTTTCTGGAGCTCACTGTAGAACTACCAAACAACAAATTTAAACAGGAAGTGATTGTCCTGGACAGGAAGATACAGATGGAATGCTGCAGCCCTTCAGGGTAGGAAGGAAGAGAAGGGACTTGGAGGGGCTCTACCCCTCCCTGCAAGAGACAGCAGCTCCAGCAGCTGGTGTGCTTCATCAAAGTGCTCTTGAACTGCCTGAAGGTGACATTGCAGCCCAAAATATACAAAGCATGATAGTTAGAACCACTTGCACAGTGTCAGCCTCTGTGAGGAACAGTGTCATATGCAGGAACCCTGCACCGCTCTTCTGGCAGGTGCATTCTGCTCTGGACACACACTGCCTTCCCACATGTACTACACAGCCAGAATAGGGGAGGAACCTCTCTGTAGGGCACAGACAGTAATTTTGATTTTCCAAGCTCTGAGCAAACATGACTGATGTCACCTCCCAGCTTCCCATCTTTTATTTTGCAGAAGAAGGTAGAGAAACAAAGTTTAAAAAGATTTCACATCAGATCTCAAAGACACTACTAACAGAAAAAAGGTGTGCCTTTTTCTCCTGAGAGGAGAGACATGCTACATGTCAATTCATATATCCAGTTTCCTTATTCCCATAGGGGCAGCTCTTCTCTCAAACGCAGCCATTCACACAGGGAAGAGCACTCACCGACCTCGTTGCTTCTAGTTGCAAGCCGTTGTTTATCAGGTTTGATTCATATACTTGTCTCTTCCTCTGTTAAAAGGTATTGGACACTGTAAAACATCTGTTCCAAATTTCACAAATATGTATGCATAGAAGAATGAAATTGCCTCCCAAAACACAGAATTGTTGGGTTGTTAACTCCGTAGCCCACTTGACAGCTATTGTGGTGATGGGTTCAGTCCTACCTACTAATTAATCCCGATCAGTTTTTTTTTTTTTTGTCTGATATGCAATATTGCCCTCAAATGCAACTCTGGAGAATTCATCCTCTTAGTTTCTGGTACATTACAGAGGTAAAAACATGCCCCAGATTTTGAAGAACTTGAAAATTTTGAAAGCTGTCCCTGAAACTTTGATGTCCTTCACCTTTAACCACTAACTGAACTGTTAGGTCTTCTGTGAGCAGTTAGCTGGCAGGAGACAACTTCAATGCACTGTGGTCTGATAGTTTTATTGCTGTACCAGGTTAGGCTAGGCATGCAGTGAGGTTCTTGGAGTTACTTGGTGATACTACTTTCTTACTCCCAGATTGCTTTCATGCCACTGGCCAATTTCTTTGTTGTTTAAATGTGCTTAAAGGATTCTGCATCTACCACTGCAGGAACTTAAAAGAATGGCCCAGTGTTTTTCATCATGTAGTTCTCTATAGCCAGACTAACTGCCTTAAGATCTGTGCTTAAGATCCAGGCCTTTTGCTACTGTGAAAGACCAGAGTCAATGAATAACCCTGTAGAAAAAGCCTTAGGAACTTTGATAGGTACATGGAAATTGGTCTTCAGGACTAAACCCAAGGCCTGTCCACTCTAGGGGCAAAAACCGGGTGCTTCAGCAAAAAGGGCAAAAGTCTTCAGAAGTTTCCATAGGAAGAGGTCAGTTGTATATTCATGTTAAGTTTCATCTAGTTCTTGAATATTAAAGATGGTTGTAAGTCTCCAAGCAAGAAAAAACTATTTTTCCAAAACTCTAGCAAGTCTTGGAATTAATAATTATAAAACTTAATAAAAATATGAACAGCCTACCTCATTTATAGTTTGCTAGTTCTCAGCTGCAGCTGCTGCATGTGGCAATGGTCATGATGGCCTAATTTCATATTTTGTTGAAAGGTATTTTTCTTATCTGTTTTGGCTTTTCTGACTTTTTTTTTCCAGTGAATATCACCTTCTACCCAAGTTAGGGACAAGAGCCAAATATTTCAATCTGTTTTCTTCTCTCATCAGTACTTATCACCTTTCTCCTTCCTCGCTTTTCCCAGGATAAATCTTGGATAGCACTCTCCATGGAGGTATCTCTCCATGTCTCATTAAACACTTGGTTATTGGAGACAGTATAATGCTCTTTATATTTTTTCACTGCACATATAATATTGTATATATATATGCAATATATAAGTTTATAATATATACATCTAATTACCCTCATTGTATTACCAGCTCTGACTTAGAATCCCAAGTGGGAATGACTGTTTTCCTTGCAGTAACATATTTCCTTGCATTTTTCAATATTTAACAGGTAATGGTGCTCTCCAGCCTCCTTCAAAGGTAAAGGTTCAGTCTTGGCTTCTAAGTAAATTACATAATGATTTCCTCTGAAATTTTTATTATTTTAAAATTCAATGTTCAAACCAGTTCATTAATATATAGAGTACATAACAAAGGATTTTTTTGTTACTCCAGTAGTAACTCTTCTGCCATTTTATCCAACCTCTTTGCTTCTTCCATATTCACGTGTTTCATTCTAAAGTGAATAATACTGAATCACGAAAACATTTAAACCTGTGTTCTGTTTTGTTTCAGCAAATAAAAAAAGGAGGGGGCTAAATACCTGTTTCATTTTCTTTCTAAATAGCACAAAGACAGATGCAGGGCAATTCTCATTTGTAGAAGTCTAATACTATTTTTTAAAAGTCTTTTAATCAGATTCCTTTAATAATTTACTATGGCAAGGAGTTCCCAAAATTAATTTTGCCCTCAAAATCTTAGAGGAATGTTGACAATATTAAGATTTCTAATAATGCATTAATGCAAGTAGTGAGAAACAAAGCCCCTGGGAGGCTTTGCTAATTAGGCGTTTTGGTATTTTATATAAATGATTGAATTATGCATATAATGATCTATGGAAGAGCTAGACTTTTACCCAGAGGAGTCTACAGTGGTTTTGCCTTGACTAGGGAATACAGTGTATAGATATGATAGCTTATTAGGCTGGAAGGTGGAGACAATCCAAAGTTTATTTTAGTATCCAGCATTTTGCTCAGCTTCCTGCAAGGCTAAGTTGCAATAATAAAGTAATCATGGTAATGCTGCTGATCTAAACCTGACACAGGTTTTGATGACTGAATGGCTAGCTGACAGACTAAGACACAACAGGATGCATAATTGTATACAGTCTCAAGAAAGTGAAAGCAGAGTGTAAGTAAATTACAAGTATTACAGGCACATAAAAGAGTCAGCTCTTGGGAGCTGCTTCTTTCACCATAGTGCTTTCAGTGTCTGGTGATTGTTTTGCCAAGCTGAGGAGATTAAAAAGATTGTGGATCTGGAAATTGGTAGCAGATCAGTAGCAGTTTTCCCCGTGTTTTGTAAATGGTAGGGAGGATTTGCTTTGATTACAGTGACAGAACACCAACTCAAATCTTTGTTAAGTTTCTTTTGTGCAAGAAGTTCCCTAGAACAATTTCCATGTGATTTCAGGGGAAAAATCTTAACAAGAAAAGAGTGCTTGAGCAGCCACCTCTGTCCTACCTGACAGGCAACAGATGAATCACAGTCACTAAGAGAAAGACCATGGGTCTCAAAGCCTCCCCCATGGAAATCAGCTGAATGGAGTGGAGTGATCACTGTATCAGTGCTAGCTGCCAACCCTCACTGTTTCTTTGATATTTGAAACTTTCCTCAAACTCTCAGTTGTCATCATCAGAAAATAAATTGATTGAGAAATTCTGCTCTGTAAGCGTCTTTCCCTTATGCTTGAAGATAATCATAAAAATGTGAAGCAGAGCACGTTATAAAAGATGACACAAAAAAACCCCCAAACCCAAAGAACTCCAAATACATATTTTCTGAGATACCCTTTAATTTTAACCCAGCCTCTTGGTTTTCTGAAACCTGATCCATGACCACACAGAACTGGCAACGCTGCAATCTATCCTTGTCCCCAAGAGTGGTTTCTAGTCACCCTGTTTGGATATACCCATTTCTGGTCCTATGAATGTATGTAGTAACTTCAGTGTAACTCCCTCCTTCCATCTGTGTTTGCATCCTTCTGTCACCCTTCCTTCCACCAGGCAAAGAAGTAATATTTGGATTTGTGATTGCCTCAGGAACAGAGGTTTTATTTCACTGAGCTCCTGCCTCAAAACCAATCTTTCCAGCAGAGATGAGGGCAAGTGTGGTTGCCCTCCTCCCAGTGCCAAAGGTCCCTTCCATACTTGTTATCAGACATCCTGAGTAGGCCGGTTCAGCACACCACAGGCATGCAGAGCCTGTCATTCTCTACTGCCTCAAATCACTACATAAAATCACATTCAGGTACCCTTCTTTCTGTAAACATAAGTATTGTGTTCTTACCACAGGTATAACACATGCTAAGCAGTGGGATAAGTACAACTTGTGTTTGAGAAATTACCTAAGCTTATTTTTGTTTTGTTTAGTCATTGGGGTTTTTTTGTTTGTTTGTTTATTTTTTTTTCTGTTGGTGATCTGAACTAAACAACTCTAGAGGCAGAAATTGTTCATTGTTTGCTTATGAAAACTAACTTCTGAAACCCTGCCAAAGTTCCCAGTATGACTATACTTCAAAAAAACACCAACAAGATGTGTGTAATATTCTCCAAGAATTACAGTTTTCATTCAATTTTGAAAAAAAATCTGTCTATTTATGTGAAGCACAGATTCCTTCATGGCTGAAAAACAAGGTTTTGCCCACATTCCTGCTTAAATGACTGACAGCCTTTCTGTTTATTTCTGTTGGGGGAAAGTAGATGGACAAGAATGACACTCTGCATTGATTTTTTTTGCATTTACCTTTCTGCCCCTGAACCTTTGACTTTCAACAATGAGCTCCTTGAGGACCCCAACAGATAGAAGTGGCATTTGGGAGCATTCTTGAAAAGACTGGTGATATTTAAATTCCAATCTGATGGTAACCTATCCTGACAAATAGGGTATTAAAACTGTAGGTTTAAAAAACCATGCTTTGGGCAGGAATTTCAATTGCTTGCAAGGTACCGTTTCTGGAATCTGCTCCTGGCAGTTTGATTTTTGCTAGAGATTGCAAAATTAATTGTATACCAACTTAAAAAGGTTTGGAGCTTGAATTGAATTGCATATATGAAACTTATCCGCTAACTTTTGGATCTATAAATTATGTTGGAAACTTCCATGACGTTGCCATTTCATTAGTTTGACTTTGCCTCCAGAAGAGTGCCACTGTGCATCTCCAACAGCTTCAGAATCCATATATTTATCCCCACTACCCAAATCACACCCATGCTTTTAGTTATTTCCTTCTGTCCTCTGAGATGTTTTCCCAAGAATACTGTTAATTAATATAAACTAATGTTACACTCATGCAATTCTTTTGAAAAAAGACAGAAAGTCATTAAAATCCAATATAATGATAATCCCAGGATCTGATTCTTCTCTTGCTGCAGAAGAATAGGTGCCTTGTTTCTCTTAATTCAGTAAATTGGATACATAGGTTGTGGTCTGATTTTCAAATCCTTCTGTCTAAATTCAGTAAGTGTTTGGGGACTCCTCCATGCTCAGTATCATACAAACCCAGTGCAGCACCTAAAACATTTTACTTCAGAAATGTAGATCTGCAGATGTCCACTAATAATTTAAATTCTGAAGTGACTTCCGTGTCATGCAATTGGGTGGGGTGGTGGGTGCATTGGACAGAATTGGTCCCAGTGACTCCACTCCTGGTCCCCGGATTTCACAGATCAGTAACATTGCATGTGGCCAGTTACTCCTGACTTCAGTGATGTGAGGATGTCACCTCACAAGAACAGTCTTCACTGGATTTTCTATTTTTCAGTAAGCTGGAGTTTCCAAATTCTGTGCACAATAAAGCTCTGGATAATAGCTCTATGAAACTGTCAGGGAAGTCAAAGAAAGAGTAGTATGAGCAAGGAACCTATTCAGGCTTGAAATACCTTAAATTACATAAGATGCTACTTAAAGAATTCAGCATTTTCAGTTCGTCATTGATCGTCAGTGATGTATGCAGTATTTAAAACTGATTGTAAATAGCAATAATCCTCATTTTGGTTGTATTTCTTCACAAGGGTGGAAGTCATTTGCCCCAGAAAAAATTACAACCAAATAAAAAACAGTGTCAGTAAAGACAAACCATCAAGTAGATTTTATGCCGACACTGATGAAAGCTGAGGCTATCTTTGGGCAGCATCATCCCCACACCATTCTGGGAACTGAGGTAGGTTAAAATATCAATTATCTCCCTGGAATTCTAAGGATGCAGAACTGCACCATAAACTGTCATCTTCCTTTCAGTCTCAGACATAAGGTACACATGTACAGTCTCCCTATGGCTTCAGCTTCTCCCTATCCACGGAAATACTGGCTCTGAAAACTGCCATCGCCACTGTTTTCAGCCTTCTTCTGAGAAATCCACTTCACGCCAGTCATGTGTCTCACTCTCCTGGCAGTACTGCCCATACAGGCTTTGTTGGCCATTTTGCTGTCAGGCTGCACGGTTGGCTCCTGTTCAGCTTGCTCTCCACAATGACAATCAGGGCCTCTTCCACAGAACTGCTCCCCAGCCACTCAGTCTTCACCTTATCGTTCCCCTAATATGCTCTTGTTCTCTCATTTGTTGCATGTAGGTAGACTGCTTTTTCTTCCTCAGCATGCCACAGGTTCAGTGTGGATCTTTGTGGGACTAAGACCTTAAAACGTAAAGTTTTTTGCAAGCACCTAGCTTATTACCCACAATCTTCTGGTCTAATTATTCATGGTTTTGTTCTGGCTAATGTCTAACATTAATGCTACACTAAAAATACTACTCCATTGCTCACATTTAATTTCCATCACTGTTTGGAAAAGATGCTCATTATATTTTTAAGTACATTTGGGCAATAGCCAAGTATTACAAACAGAAATATAGAATGCTAATTGATCAAAACAATTCTTTCCAAAGGGGCAGCTTTTTGTTTCTAATTACCTCTTTCAATTAATTTTTATTGCTGATCCTGTGATCATGTGTAATGCAACATCCACCCACAGCAGGACTCCCTCAAACCCTACTAACAACATTCCTTATGGCTGTCCCGTTAATGCCAACAACAACATTGTGTAATGAATATCAACCAACTTAGCTACAGGCTTTTTTACTCCTACTCTTCTCTTTCTTAACTGCAAATCATTATTTGTATATGAGCTGCTTTCAGTGATATCTTTGTCCTGGTCTGTCTCGACCTGAGGCTGCTGCTGCTGTAACGTGGATTATTGCTAAATCACAGAAGGATGTGGGTGGGTGAGTGGAGGTGCCAAGGGGTCTCCAGTCTTGTGGATGTGTATTTCTCTGACAGGTCATGATTAAAATAGCTTGGGTTTGTGACCCTGGGTGCCATAAGGAATGTTGTCCACTGATGGAACTGATTAAATGACTAAAATATAATAATTAAAAATAATATATTATTGTGGTTCATAGCTGCTAAGGAGCATCAAGAAGTCACTGGATACGGTCAGAAATTTTTTGTAAGGTCCCTAGGGAGGGCCAAGCTGTTGAAGTGTCAAATGAGGAAGAGGTACAGGGAAAAATTCTAGTGGCAACATCATGTACAATTATTTCCCATGAAAAACTTAGCTACTTTATTGGTCAGAATGTCAGCAGCTATGTTCATAACTGTGATCTGGAGCACCTGGTCAGCTATGTCCTTTGGGTTTCTCTGAATACACTGATTTTAATACCAAAGTCCATTAGGGGCCTAACTGAATTACTGTAGGTACAGAAATTGCCCCAGTCTGAAGAACTTGGTGTCTAATTCTAAGCAGGAACCTGATACCAGCACTTTTCTGCTCAAATCTCCTAAAGGGTTCCCTCCCAAGAAGATACTCTGAGGCCACCAAGAACACAGTAACAGAGATGATATGCAGAACTCTGCCTATTTACACAACAATCTACTGGTTTGAGCCCTATTCCCTGCTCAGTTTGATGGGCTTCAGTTTCCCAGCTCCGAAGAGTACGCTGAGGATAAGGCAATGCAATTGTTGTTCTGGGTGAGGGCACTGTCCTTTCTGCCCATGGCTCTAACACCCCGTCTATGAAAAATAACTCACCTTATGCTTTTTACGATCACTCCTCTTATGAGTAATTTTTTTACTTTCATCTTCATACACCAAAACAAAGTCAATTCTTCTCTGCCCATCACTGAAGAACAAGGAATCAGGCTTATCATCAAAATCCACCTGGAAGGCAGGTAGCATAGGTTAATATGAAGATCTTTATTCGCTAGTTTCTTACTTGCTTCCTGTTACACAGTATTTCAGTGAACATTGAAATTCAAGGTATATCAGCCTTGTGTAACAAGAAGTCCAAAATGACAAAGTTGCACAGAGTATAAGGAAGGAAAAAGAAATATCCAGAGGAATTTGTCAGGTCTCTACATGACATCAACAGAACTTTGACCTGATTATCTTCTTTAAAAGTGGTACATTAGCTTTTCACAATGGGGGAAGCACTGTGATGCAGCACCAGTGCCACATAATTTGTATGCCCAGTAATTTTTATGCCATCATGGACACACTGTTAGATAGTTCATCTGCAAGATATGTTGCTGCCTGATGGGAGTCTCAGAATTAGTATATTCCCATCTGTCCCCTTACCTGCCAGAAGTTTAAGCATCTCTGCAATTATTAGGGAAAAAAAAAGCAGCAGTTTCATGCACACTTATACCTGAGCCCACCACTGCCTGGAGAACAAAGAATATGGTCACGCTGCAGATGAACTCTCAAAACAGACATATACTATGTGGATTTATTTCTCATTTTATTTGCAACATCTCAGCAAGCAAAAAACCATTGTTGTATGCCACTCATCCATCATGTTATAATAGATGCCAAAATCAGAAGTTTTAATATATCCATAAGCCATTATCTAGTCCCTGGAGGAAAGTTGAATAGATTGTCATATCCACTAACAACATCTTAATGTGTTATTTCATGTGTGAAACGATACAGACACATCGGTGACAGGGAAACCTGAATGCTTGAGTAATGGCTTGTAGTTTCTTACTGAGGGCACTATCACGCATTAACAACCCCCTCCTTTCAGGTAATATATAGTTGTAATATTATCAGAATCCTTTAATATAATGAGCACCAACCTCTCAGCTATTTGGCCAAATCCACCCATGGTGTTAATGGGGGCAGTGACACTGAAATTGATAGAAATCAAAAGTCTGAAATGGGACTTAGCATGGCATTAGAGAAGATAAGATCTCCAAAGCTGCCAAGAACTGCAGTGGAACCCTGGCCTCCAGCTGACTGGGCATGCAGGGCAGCCCAAGGCAGAATCAGGTCAGGCAAAATGACACACAATAATCTCTTGCATATGCTGTGGACATGGAAAAGATCCCCAGATGTCCCATCCCTAGAATTTCACTGTTGGTGTAGACCAAACTTCATAAAAGCATGTTAGATTAGGTTTTGGGAATTCTGGGATGTCTGTTCCACGGAAAGGGCATGGAAATGTGGTTATGGTGTCAGAAACCCCTGAAATGCAGCCTGAAATGATTGTTCTTCAACTATGAAGAACTGAGAAGAATGTAGTCTTCAGTCAGGAGCACCGGAGTTCCAGGGAACATACAGTGTTTAGGAACCACATGTGTCAGTGTTTCCAAAACAAAATTTCCCACGGTTTTTTTTCTAAACTTCTCCCTGTAGATTATTTTGTTACTATTTACTGGTTGAGCCAAAATAGTTGACCAAGATGTGTCTCTCCATAATTATGACAAAATGTCCATATTTTAAATAAACTCGGGGGAGTTTAAACTCGCTATTTTTTACATCATATGTGCAAAGGCTAGGACCTGCTGTAAAGAGGTCCTGTTAACTTAGTTGCTTCAAAAGTCTAAGCAGATTCTTGAATAGAACAGTTTTCTTTGAATCCTACCTGTGCATTGGGATTTGTGACAAACCTGACAGCAAGTAGCAGCTGACAAACTTGCACACACACACACACACACACACACACACACACACACACACACACACACATATGCACACACTGACAAATGGCCAATATACACACATGCTGTATGTTAGTTTCACAGCCTGGGCTAGGATTCAGAGACTACCTGGGCAGTCACCAAATCAACATACAACTGCCTACTGTGAACAAAGTTTTAGGGGAAAAAGCTTTCAGATGGCATCACCAGACCACAATGACACTAGCTATCTCTATCACCCGAAGCAAGTCACAGGTGTGAATTTCTAAACTGTTGCAAGTTGAAGTTAGCATAGTCCCATCAAGAAATCGGAACTGGCCCTGACAAGTTTTCCTTCTGCTGAGGACTAGTCATGGGTGTGAACACAGCCCTGCTGCTACCATTTCCAGTCTCATTTAAAACATAACCATGATGATTTAATGTTGACTAGATTCCTACTGGGAGGAAAGCATTAACAACAGCCAACAGCTCCTGCTGGGAGACAGCTTGGGAGGTGCTGGAGTACTGGCAGAAGGGAGGTGTGGAGAGTGGAGCCCAGCAGGCACAAAGCCAAGCCCAGCGCAGCAGCTTCTGCTCTCCCCTGGAACCTCAGCAGGCTCCAGTACAGGCTAAAATGGCTTCATGTTGCAATGCTGGAAACAGAAGTAATGAATAACAGGGGGAAGGGTTGCCACTGCAAAAAGTACAAGGGTTTTTAATTGGGATTTTTCTTCTTTGGAATTCTAGGAATATCATTATAATAACCTCTGTTTAAAGAGATAGAGCTTAGTTGTAAAATTTAAGCATTTGAAATTATAGAAGGAGGAACCTTTTAGCACTTCTTCCAAAGAATAGAGAAGAAAGAAATGGAAAACAGCCAATATCAAATCAAGTTTTGATACAACAAGGCTTGATCATAATTTGAGTTGGCATAACTTCATTAAATAATTTTCCTTTAAATGTAGTCTTCTTTAAACTTATAAAAGCAGCAATAACTGGCTTAACTGGATTATCAATAATAATATGCTAAAAAGTATATATAAAATAGTTATAAAAACTATATATAAAATAGATATAAAAGCTACCTATTAATCAGTATTCTGACTCATGAATTTACTCACACGTGTTTTCATTCACATGTGTGTATAAATATTATTGATCATATACATACACCTTTATCTCTCTCTCTCTTTCTCAAACTATGGACATATAAATGGAAAATAGCTAAAAGATTAGTAAATATTGGACTGCACAAATCCAGGTACACAGAAGTTCATATTTATGAAGCTAACTTCTTAAAGGCAATCACTATTGCTTTTAATCACAAGGGTGTTGTTCAGTTGACCTATCCATAGACACTCTATATATCAATAATAAAGAATTGTCTCATTAAGCCTGAATACTTAAGAGATCAAGATTAAGATCCACACAAATCAATTGTAATGTAACATTAAATGTTGCTCAATTAAAAGTAAGAAGTAAAATGCAGAAGGGAAAGTAATAGCCAAGTTTCTGACAGCCACATTAAATCACGTGTGGTGTATCTTGTAATCCCTATTGGATAGTTGCTAATGGAAAAGCATGTATTATTCAACATAATCATCATGGGAAAAACAGGACTGGAAACCAAAAAGATGTGCTGTACTCTGAAGTTAGTAATTGCTTTGAGACAATGTTTGGGTTTGTTGTTTGTTTTTTTTAATATGCAATATTATTTGACAGCATTACAAACATTGTCATCATACAAATGCACACAAGCTCGCATGCATAGACATATAAGTTAATGGGGCTGAAATTCCTATATGTAATTTTTCTTAAGATCAGTAGCAAATTATAACCCAGAATAATGAACAGGCCCACTGACATGAGGTCTATTTACTGTACTATCTAATTTCCTTAGCCGCAGCATAATCACATTTTAAGTACTGATGGAGGCAATTGGTTTTGCACTCCATTGTTTTGATAACACCCAAGTGGACAGCAAGTTAATATTGATTAACATCATTAATAAATAAAAAAACGTAATATGAATACTTGTGAAATACTAATTATATTTAGCACACAGTCCACAGTGCTTCAGAACTCTCCAGGTACTGTAGAAGCAACTGCTTGAGTGCCAATGGGAGACAGGGAACCATTAGTTGCTTTATTAACAGACGAAATCTGAAGGAGAGGGGGACCTGGCTGTGACTAAAGCTTTTGGAAAACTGAGGTTACACCTACATGAGTTAGTCTAGAGGCAGCCTGATCGCTGCCCCTTCCCTTTCCCCTTCTCTTCCTTTCCCTTCATCCTCCCTGACTTCATCCCCCAGCAGCCACCTCAGCAGAGGAACAAGGAACTTCCTGCACTCTTGGGTAATCCAGCACAAGAAGTGGCCAGCCGATGCCATCTGCTCTCCCAGCGCCTGAGGCACAGCAGCACTTGGAGAAGGGGCAAGTGGGACATGAAGACAAGCTTGTCCCTACACACTGAGCTGTAAAAGGCTGAAGTAACTGGCTTGGCTTCAAATGCCCACATTATGGAACACCCAAACACCCCCTTGACTGAGACTCCTCAGGAGGGAGATTTCCGTGTGCCCCTCCACAAGTATAACCAGGCTTGCTGGTATCTAAGGGGAGTTGCCGTGTCTTACTCCTGAGACCATTCTTGTAGTCATGGCTACATGTGATGCCTGCAGTAGAAATGAAAGGAGACCATACAAGTGGAAAGCTCTCTTCAGAAACAGCAATGCTTCATACCAGAGGAGGAAAAGCAGTTGCACTACTGAGAAACCTGATCACTTTTCCAAGGTTCTCTAAGCATTATGTAATTAAACATTCAGTGGGGATAATGCAGGGGAAGGGCAGCACCGAGACAAGCATGAAGATGCGTGCACAGGAATTGCAGTTATTTATTGTTTACTACACCTTGAATAAGCACAGTATTGTAAGCTGATTTTTTTTTTAATAACAAGAGATTTTGCAGGAATGATTTATCTAACTGAAAGGATAAAAGAAGTGCTTTATTTTGCCTACATGAGTCTTTGGTGTGACTGTCAATAGCACCAAATGTAATCATTACTGGAGGGATAAACTACTTGTCTGCAACCTCACATAATTTTCAGATATGCTTCAAAACAGCTTTCTGTGGCATGCCAGGGAATAAATCAGTACTGGGAAAGAGGAGAGCAGAGCAAAGGCTGTGCAACATTGCCTCTGCTGACAAGACACCTGCAAAAAATCCTCCTGCAGGGGCACAGTGACAGCCCCAAGGGGGACCAGCAGGTTGCACACCAGCTGTGGGTTTTACAAAGGTGAAAAATTCAGAGTGTCTGTTTAGGAGCACAGTTATTTCTCTCTACCCACCTCAGGAAACTTCAAATCAAGTAAATGAAAAGAAAAAAAAAATATATTACCAGGATATCATGAAACATAATTATTTGTAAATGATTTTGAGATCATTTGAAGAAAACGTTACAGAAATAGGAAGTTCTTCCTGCTATCACTGACATATAATAAGATTTTTTATTACTTTATCTTCTGAGCAACACAGCTTTCTGACATTAGGACCAACACAAGCATTTATTTCTGGATGCCACTGATATAGGTGATATATAAGATATATAATGGAAGATGTAAGTTTATTTGCATATTGCATAATAATGCTGCTCTGTCTCTGTCAGACCATAAAACTGTTGTGTCTTTAATATTTTCCCTTTTTACCCATATTTGTTAATGACAACAGAGGACTGTTTTAGTTCTCTTTTTAGCAACAATGAGAATATTAACAAGCACTTTATCAGAAGAAGGTTTTTCTTTCACTTCCTCAACATGCAAAGGAATTTTTTCTATGTAAAAAACTGAAATAAACTTAGATTAAAGACAATTAGAAAAAATATGGGGTGTCATAACAGTCACACATTTCTGTCAGCAGAAAACAGCTGGTAACTGGCCAGGCATTGGGATGCCTTGTCCCCTGAGCTAAGTTTGGACCAGACACCCACTTGACTTCCTGTCTAAGCAACAGGTTGCTGCTGGCTGCAGGAGGAATTCCAGTCACTCCTGACTAGAGAGAGACCAAATGGCCTTACTTATAAATAAAATGAAGAAAGTGCACTGCTGAAAACCTGCTTTTCAGCAACTCCCATCTTTCTGGAGATGCAAGAGTTGGGAAATTTACTCTTTCGGACATCCCAGAAGCCTTCCTATTCTTCCTGAAGAAACTGTATGTGAGGGGCAGCAAGAATAGACAGTTTGAAGAAGTCAACGTCCTCTCTGCAGATGTTGACTCTCAAAAAAAAAAAATCTTATTGTTACATGCAAATTCAAACTATCTACCTCTAAAGCAGATAAGCTGCAAAATGAAACATAAGCTGGAAAAGGACATTAACAATGTCTATGCAGTTTTGTCTTCCTTGTACATATTGTTTATGATATATGTTTTAATTGTACAATCACATGACATACTTCTATGGCTCCTTGTAGTTATGGAATCTGCTCCTATTTATAGAATACTCCTTAATGTCTATTTTTTTTGTTTGTTTTGGCTTGTTTTTTTGTTTTGTTTTGGTTTGGTTTTCTTGTTACACCACATCTAAATGGCCCAGATGCTTAAAATAGATGCTTTCCTTCTGAGTATGCCTGCAGTATTCTCCTATTGAATCCCCATGTTCTGCAAATATTGAAAAATATAATTTTAAAAGAACCACCAAGAGAGCAAGTAAGAGTATAACCCTCATTTTAACACTGATCACATAAGGCATCTAGATATCAATGCTAAAACATGTTCACTGCCTCCTAAATTTGGAGTTGCATCTTGAGACACCAGGAAAGTGACTTTTTCCAGAGAGCTCAGCAATTCTCTCTCTTCAAAGAGAGAGTCACTACTTTGAACTAATGCAAACAGGGTCACAGATGGTCTCCCTTGACACTCAGGAAAAAAACAAAAGGTGGCTGTGACTTTATGAGTCCAGTTATCTAGGATTGAATTCAGTTTCGCCTGTCTCAAGAGCCTTTAATTCCTTCAGTGTAGTTTCCTGCCACATTTACACCTTGCTGAAGCAGTACAAACAACATTTACACAGAATTTAGGCTTTTTGAAGATAATTGTCCTATTCATGTGTCAAATGAATCAGGGATCTTGTGGCAAACTTAGCATATGACCCTGTAATTGGAGACAGCACCATAAGAAGAACAGGGCTGCTTCTATTAGTCAATAATTTACTTAGTTTTGGCTACTCCAGAATGATTTGCAAAATGAAATAAAATTTCCAGAATACTGCCAGGTGCAAAGCATGATCTAGGTTTAGACAAAATGCATAGTACTTCTCTTCTATTCAGTCATTTAAGGTTAGGCTTCCTGTTTGATTTCCATTTCTACCTGCAATTAGCTCTTGTTCATTTAGCAAACAGGTTCAGTATATCTCAATTTTATCTTTCTACCTCCTCCAACTCACTGAAACTACCCACTCAATGACAAGGGGGGCATGACATGGAAGTAGCAATGCAGAGAAGATGCTGCTAAAACTGAGCAGAAATTATAACTGCTAGTAAACATGAGTTTAGTAGCAAAATAAAAATTATATATATATATAAATAAAAATTGATTTTGACCATCAATTTTCAGGAGAAATAAAAATAAATTCTAAGAAGATTGCTACAGGAGACTATTCTAACCACAAGGTATATGACATTCCAGCTGTTTCGATGCTATTCCATTTCATATAAATATATAAAAAAAATTCAGTGAACCACACGGAGAGTTTAAGAAGGAGGGCACTCATTTGGGAAATGAAAGCTCTTGGTTGCACCTCATGCTTCCAAAAATGTTTAAACATTTTTCCAGAGACTGAAGCAGCTTCAAATGAAGCTGCAAAAACACAGGGGCAGGGGAGGCCAGGCTGTCCACCTTCCAGAAGGAACCTCATTTCCTGTTAGCTTGGGTATTGGCTTTCTATGAGATTTGAGGCAGGGGATCTTGACCTAGAGCCAGCAGCCTGTGAACTGCAGAGAACATTAGGCGAGCTGGCAAATCTGAACTTTGGTAAAGGGAACAGATGCCTCTAGGTCTTTTTCCTTCTTGTCACTTCAGTCTCTGGAGTAAAGAATTTCCTGGTGTCTCCAAGCTTTCTGTAAAAATGAATCCTGGAGTCACATGTCAGCCAACTAATACCTACCTGGGTGTGTATGAATTTACAGGGTATATGTGTTTATATGTAGGGTGTGTTCAGAACTATTTATCCTTGTATACACACACAAACCCTACACATTCATGAACAAAATTACATAGAGAGAGGAGGTCTACGTGTATGTATTGGTTTACAGTGAATATATATGGGTCACTTTTAAATAGTCCAGTGCCTGTGACAGCCTGTACTTTCACATCTGAGTCAGTGACTTCAGGTAACTTTAGGGGAATGGGGATAACAGCAACTCAGATTCAATCACACAGATGAACTGCATGTGCTGCAAATGCAAAGGAATGCTAGTCTTCTGGAACAGCTACTGACTGCTGCATATCTATATGGGAATATATTACAGGCAATCAAGTTAAAGTAAAGAAGTACCCACCCATTCAGGAGTACGAAGGTTTTGCTGATCCGGCACAGTTCCGTAAGTAGGAATAATCACCTGGTTCAGTTCCAAGACTAAAATTAAACATAAGAAATGAAAACATTTTAGCATTCCGTGTGGTAGTTTTTTTGGTGTGTGCATTATTGTTATTATTATTATCATATTATTATTAATATTATTATTATTGTTAATTAATGGTTTGTGGAGAAATCACTTCATTGCACTTATTTAGTGTTTCAGAAATGGAATGTTTGTGTTGCACACTTCAGTTACAATCAGAAGGTGGCAAGAGAACAAAATAGCAGGTTGACAAGGTAATGCTAGGAGAGCATCCTGACCATTCTACAGTGATGCAAAGCATCCCTTTACTCTTATGTTCTATTTAGTGTTTCAGAAACTCTGTGCACACTCTAGGAGAAGTTAAATTTATCTTTCAGTGAATAAGGGTACCAGAACTGGCTCCACCCGCACAAACAACCCTAGCTCATGCTGACTGTACTTCTCAGGCAATAACAAATAACAGTTCCAGAGAATCCTTCACAAGTCCTGGAATGCGTGTTGTAGATCACAGTGATACTGTACACTGTTACAGTGATACTGAAACATTAATGCTATAACACATAACCTAAAACCACACCTATAGTTCAATCAATGTGCGTTGATGCCTCAGCTACTCCTCCCCCACTTCCCAGCACTTGTCAAAAACGAACAACCTCCAAACTGAATCAATTTCCTGAAAATAGAACATAAAATAAAAATGACCTTGTGAAGTATGCTACTGCATGAAACCACTATCAAGCACACTGGGAAAACTGGCTACCAGTTGAAGCACCAGATAACACACAAATTTGTCCTAATAAGGCTCAAGGAAATAAGTTACAGAAGCTCTACAATTGCTGCAAGATTTAGTTTTTTCACAACTATTTTTTTGTCTTAAGAAGAAGTCAAATAACATCCTGAGGCTGAAGATAACATCAAGTAGCTAAAGGGAGAAGGCTGCTTCCTGCCTATGCAGGGCAGGCAGATGGATCCCATCTGTTATTTTCATATCCTTAAATCAAAGATGTGTTTTAGCTAAGTCTGTCCTGCACTGAGGAAGGGTCATGGATACCTGTGGTACCTAATAGTCAGTGTTGTCTGGAAATGATAGCTTCAGTGTAACAGAAGTTCTATAATACTTCAAGAAAATCCCTCAGCTCTAAAATAATCTGTAGTACTTTTAGGATAGCTAAACACCCGTTAGATACAATGCCAGGACAAACATAACTGATATGCCTGGGTTTGTTTTGATTTGGGTTTTTTTGTTTGGTTGTTTTGGTTTGGTTGGTTTTTTTTGTTGGTTTTGGGTTTGTTTGTTTGTTTTTGGCTTGAAAACTTCATTGATATATGGCCAACTTCTTAAGAAAATTTAAGAGTTTTTTTTTTTTTTCCATTGATGATGTTCATTTATACAAGCTGAAGATGTGTCAAAATACTTAAAGCACAACAAGCTTCCTCTTTACAAATCAACAGAATTCTCTCACAGCCTTTAAGCGGCTGAATTCTCCAGTTTAATTGAGTTTGGTAGGGACTTGGTTCCAGGTGTTGAATTGTCAGTTTCCAGATGTCCTCTGTGGTGATAGTATATGTTCCAGGGAGAAAACAAAAGCAAGTCCATGGATTTTTTCTGAAGCATTTGAGCCATAACCCTAGATATGCCCAGTGGAATAATCAACATCTCTGAGCTATCAAAAACATTAAGATCTTCAGAAATATTTCCCAGCATTTTAAAAAAAAGCAGGAAAATGCAAAGCAGTGCAGCACACAAACATCACATGGTAAGACCATAACATGAGGATTCAGAAGACACAAGCATCTCTCAGCAGCTACTGCAAAATTGCTGAATATGTGCATCATTATGTTTTAATGGATTCAGCTTAGACTAGGGTGAGAGGGGCAAATACATATTCTTGATGTCAGTGTAACGGGTATCTCCCCACATTCTTTAGGGCATTCTTTACTCTCTATCTGGACACAAAGATATCCAGATACAAAGTACTTCTGAAAACCCACAGAAGAGGGAATGTTTCTGCCCACATATAACGGGCAGAGGGAAGGAGAAATATAAGCATCTTACTCTGAAATATAAACATTTGTTCTAAACTCTAGGTGCCATTACACAAACCCCAAATATGTGGACACAGATACAAAGGCTTCTGTCAGCCACTGAACTGCAGAATCAGGAGCCAAAATGGCCTTTTTGCTAAGTAAGCACACCCTCATCATTGCTGCTGTCCAGAAAGCCCTTCAGACAGAAGTGAAGAGAAGGCTGAAATGTGGAATTCACAGGAGGCAGAATAACTCCACTTATCCCAAATCCTGATTGGGTCTGAGGCTGGTCAGAAATATCCTCGAAAAATTCATATGTGAGTACAAAGTGGTTTTTATTCTCACAAAATCACTTCATTTATTTCTCCCACCTCCCTGTGAGCATTATGGTAAAGTCAGTTTTAAATATGGAGAAGAAAAAAATTGCAGCACAAAAATTTGCAACTAGACATTAGAAAAAGATTTCTAACACCAAGAACAGTAGAAAGAAGTGCTGGGGAAGGCAGGTGAGGTCATGTGAGATCTTCAACATCAGAGATTATTAAGTACAGATGTACTAAGTATTCTGGAACAATCTAGGCCAAGTTGAATCTGGCGTAAACCTTGAGAGGATGGCCTAGATGAGCTTTTGAGATCCTTCCCAGACCCAGTTTCCTCTGAGCGTAAGATTGGTCAAAGTGACAAATGCCACTGTGCTGAGATTTTATATTAATATAATAGTTCTGCTTACCTATATCTTCTTCAGAAACATTATAATCCTGTTAATGTTTGAGTCAGAGCACATCAAGTGTAGATGTTTGTGTTCTACCACCCAGTCAAGTGAAGAAAAGAGGGTGCGAGAGAACAAAGAAGTCTACTGGATTTGTGCCAGCATACTCAGATTATAATTAACTGATACATCAAATTCTATCTTCAAGCAATCTTGGCAAGATATGCTTTTGTCAGAACATTGCACCTAATTTCTTTGAATTGTAATCATAATTTTGAGTGCCCACTCAGTAATACCAGTTGGTTTTTGATCTACTCCTTGTAAAAGATGCTGTTGTAAAAACTTTAGGTACTGAATATGTGTAAGCTACTTTAAAAGAACACCTCTGTGGTATCTGAGCTGCCAATATATCACTAGTATTTCCAGGTGCCTGAACTGAGCTGTCAGCACATCACACTTACCTCAAATATGCCCATACAGAAGCACTAAGAAGTTAATCCCACATTACTGCTCTATGACCTATGTACATCCCATGGTTTTGGCCAAGCCATGGGAGACGAACTGTGTTGTTGATTCTACCAGAGATTTATTTTATGAGTTTTCTCTACAGCTTTGCTTTCTTGGAGGTGAGCCACCATTTCTGACTGGATTGAATAAAGAACCTAAAAATCCCTTGATAGCCAATGCACAATGTCTTGTCTTTTCATTAGTTGATATTGACAGTGAATGGTTTTGTAAGTTCAGTGACTTCTCATTGAATAATTCAATTTTAAAGGCTTTAATGAACATTACCACTAGCAATCTCTAACTACTGCTATAGGTGAGAGGCTATGGCCCACTGATAGGTAAGGAAGATGCTCTCACCTTGTAAGAAATACAATTTTCTTGAGGTCTGAACAGTGACATAATGAAAGCTGTTCAAAGCACAGGCAGTAGGGATGCAACAAGTTTTCTTGAGTTTGTAAATTAAAGAGAATGAGAATGGAAAAAAACCCCAAAACAACAAGCCACTATCCAGAAGTGAAAAAAATGATGCTGTCCAAAAGAACATTAATGACAAGAAAATAACAAATATATTGGACAAGCTGATGTTTGAAAACATGGTCTTGGCTCCGCAACAAGGACATTGTCAAACATGCCTGAAGATGCCAAACTTTTTGTTACAAAGAAATTCTTGGCTATCACTGATTTCCTCTCAAATGAAAATAGTCAGAGGTGAGAAAGGGCAGCGGCACTCTTTAAGCTTGTATATCACTTACATTAAGCCAAATAATTAGGAATCAAATTATTTTGAGAAGTCAAAAAGGTTTTACAATACTAAACTCATAGTACCTGTTAATTCAACAAGCCTGCAAGGCATTGTTAAGGACAAGATCTCAGCCCTGACACTGAACATGGCATCTCATGAGCAATCATGAATGCAAAGCCTGAAATCCACGGTTTTTGCTGCTTTGCTACAGACATCATATCACCTCTTTTTTTGTAAAGTATTTTGTAAGAGTGCTGACTGTCACAGAAGTTTAAAAAAGTCCAAGTCCCAAATCCTGTTCTTAGAGGGAGAAAAATAAATTAATGGAACACTGTGCTCTCTTAAGCACCAAACTGATGTGCTCAAGAACATCCACTCAGCACTTCGGTGGACTTGCCTGCAGCATGGAGTACCTCCTCCCCAAACAGGGAAGTTTACAGCATGGTTACAGAAAATGAGATGTTGCAGTGCTGGGGTGCACACTCTTATCTGCATCACCTGGCTCCATGCATGGAGCTGTCCCACTGCAGTGCAGGTGGAAAGCATGGGAGGAGAGTGTAGCAGGCATTAATTACCAAAGGAGAACACTCTAGCTTCGCTCACAGCCCTGCCCTCACGTAGTTCTGCGTTAGCAACAACGTTCACTGCACACAGAAATGGACAACTGTTAAGTACACGATTAGACTCACTTAGACCTTTTAGGCCTCAAATAGATTGTGAAGAAAATTACTATAATAACAAAATATCTCACTGACTGGAAAATACTAGGAAATGTTGACATGCAATTTGTTTCTGAATTGACACATCTCCTGATATGTTTGACAGTACTGTCACCACATTAGAAAAGAAAAAATAGTAATTAGTAAAGTCTATGTGTTCTAGTGAAAATCAAATTAAAAGATCATATCAGGTTTGCCATTATGAGGCTCAGGGAACTGGATGGAGTCGGATTGTTCCCATCTGCTGAGATAAACAAGAAGATCCAAAGGTTGTAGGCTTTGCCCAAGTACTGCTTTCTAAGTAGAGTT